GGCGGGTCTACCCGCCGGCTTTCCCTAGTGTTCGCCTTGTACGGTATCAATAGCGATACGTGGAACACGTTGTGCACGCGCCTCATACTGCTAGGCAGCTCCAATCGTCGGGCAAGGCCCGAGTTTCCCACCTTCTCCGTAATTCGGAACGGGCCGAAGGTCTTCCAGTCCAGCTTCCTGCTCGGTCGAACCGTGGTGATGTGTTCAGACGACAACATCACCAGGTCCCCGACCTCGTACCCCTCCGTCGGCACATTCCGCCGCTTGCGATCGGCGTACTTCGCCATATTGGTCCGCGCGAGCTCTAGCGACTTCATAACCTGCTCGCGGACCTCTTCCATACGCTCCCGGAAGGCTGCTGCCGACTCGATGCTCCCCGGGACTTGGCGAAGGGAGAACTTGAAATCTTCTCCTTCGGAGGCCATGAAAGGCGACATCTTGATTGCCGAGTGCCACGCGTTGTTGTAGGCGAACTCCGCCATAGCGATCAACTCCGCCCAATCATCCTGCTGGAAGTTCGTGTAGCTCCGGAGATACTGCTCCAACGTGGAGTTGGTCCTCTCCGTCTGCCCGTCAGTCTCGGGGTGGTACGCCGTCGACAGCCGCTGGTTCATCCCGGTGATCTTGCACACGTCCCTCCAGAATCGCGACGTAAACAACGCCCCTCGATCGGTCAACAAATCCTTAGGGTACCCATGGAGCCGCACCCATTCGTTGACGAATATCGACGCCAGCGCATGCGTGTCGTCGTCCTTTCGGCAGGGCACGAAATGCGCCCTCTTCGTAAAACGATCCACTATTACGAGGATCGAATCAAACCCCTTCGACACGGGCAACCCCGTGATGTGGTCCATGGTGACCGACTTCCATTTCCCTTCCGGTACCGGTAGTGGGTGCAACTCCCCCATGGGCTTTGCCCGCGGTCTCCTGTTCCGCTGGCATACGTCGCAGGTCGCCACATACTCGGCCACCGTCTCTCTTAGCCGGGGCCACCAGAATTCCCGGAGAACCATCTCCGTCGTCTTGTCCCGACCATAGTGCCCGACCAGCTTCTGGTCGTGGCATAGCGCGAGCACTTTGCTACGCAACACCTCCTTGTCGGGGACATACATCCACCCTCGATACAGGAGGAATCCGTCGCTGTCCACCGTCCATTCCTCCGCTTTGCCTTCCGGCGCTTGGGAAACTCGCTCGGCCCCGGCGGTCAACTCCGCGTAGGCGTCCTTAACAAAGGTGTCCTCCTTCAGCTCCGCCAGCAGTAAACGCTGGATCTCTTCCTCTGGAAGTTGCAAGGTTCCGCATGTGCGGAGTGCTCCTTGGCACTGGTCCGTCGCAACGCTCCGGCGGAGCGCCCCTTCGCTCTCCTCCATCGTGAGAGCATCCAGCTGCATCGGCAGCTCGCAGTTCTGCGGCCGTAGCAGAATCTCCGTTTCCAGGACCTTGGAGTCTTTCATCAGTTCTTCCCGGCGGCTCAATGCGTCGGCCTTACCATTCTCCGTCCCGGGCTTGTACTCCAGGGTGTAGTTGAACTGATTCAACCGCTGCGACCACCGCGCCTGTCTCCTCGTCAGCATTTTCTCGGTACGGAAGTACTCGAGGTTCTTGTGATCCGTAAGGATCCGAATGAGTCGACCACTGTCGAGGTACTGTCGCCATACCGTGCAACTGTACACGATCGCGAGAAGTTCACGGTCGTGAACGTCGTAGTTCCTTTCGGCCGACGTCAGACTTTTCGACATGAAAGCCACGGGGTGCATCTTCCCGTCGGCTCCCTCCTGGGACAGCACCGCCCCGATCGCCCCAGAGGAGGCGTCCGTCTCCAACAAGATTTCTTTATCCTCGTCAAAATGAGCGAGGATCGGCGCCGTCGTGAACGCCCGTTTCAGTTCCTGGAAGGAGGCCTCCGCCTCCTTACTCCACTCCCATTTCCGACCCTTCTTCGTAAGGTCATGCATTGGCCTACACTTCTTCGAGTACCCTTCGATGAAGCGGCGATAATAGTTGGCGAACCCCAGAAAGGACATGAGTCCTTTCACGTTCGTAGGGGCAGCCCAGTCCAGTACGGACTTGATCTTAGAGTCGTTCATTTGAACGCCCTGTGGAGTAACATCATACCCCAAAAACTCGGTGTGGTCCGTATCGAACTCACACTTCTCGGCTTTCGCGTAAAGCCCGTTCTCCAACAATCTCCGAAGGACTTCTCCGACGGCCTCGTCATGCGACTCCTGATCCGGTGAGAAAACCAGGATGTCGTCCAGGTAGATAACCACCTTGGTGTCCAACATATCTCGGAACACGTGATTCATCCACCTCTGGAACGAGGCTGGAGCATTGGTGAGCCCGAAGGGCATCACCAAGCACTCGAAGAGCCCCTCCCGCGTTCGAAACGCAGTCTTCCACTCGTCACCCTCCTTTACTCGGAGGAGGTTGTATGCCCCTCGCAGATCTAACTTGGTGTAGATCTTCGCCCCCTTAAGACGGTCCAACGTCTCCGATATAAGGGGCAAGGGGGTGCGGTCCTTGACCGTGATGTCGTTTAACCTCCGGTAATCAATACAGAGCCGCAACGACCCATCCTTCTTCGGAACAAACAGCACGGGGCTCGCCGCCGGAGATGTTGACATCCGGATAAAGCCCTTCTCCGTCTGCTCCTTAATCCACTCCGACAACGCCGCTCCTTCTTTTGCGGAGTGCACATAGCACTTGCCAAATGGCGGGGTTGTCCCGGGGAGTAGATCGATGGCGTGGTCGAAGGACCTCGCCGGCGGCAGTGTATCTGCCTTTGTTTTTGAAAACGCGCCTAGCCAGGCGTGATATTTCTTCGGGACCCTTTCCCGGAGTGTCTCCATGTACTCCGGCGGGTCCAAGTCATTCGGGAACGAGTCCATTGGTTGGACGTCCCAATCCCACAGGTCCGGCCGTTTGGCAGGGGGCGGTTGTTCCACCACCGCGTCCAGGCGTGCTGCGTACAGCGTGTAGGACCCCTCCATTGCGACCCTGTCAATCTCCTCCGACGCCGTGCTCCGCCGGACTCTCTCTCGGGTAGACTCCTCGGGGGAGAACACCACCTCTTTCCTGTCTCGTAGACATCCGAGACCCAGGCAGGTATCCCCCAACTCCACTCCATTCGACGTCCAGTCGATGATCGGGTTATGGCGCCGGAACCATGGCGCTCCCAAGACCACGTCGTACGATCCTAGGTCCGTCAACATGAACGCGACCGACTCGGTGTGTCGGCCAATCCTCAGCCTAGTACTTGTCCGGTGGGTCACTGCACCGGAGTTGATCGGTCTCCCATCGATCACCCTAAGCATCCTCGGCTTCTCGAGCTTCTCTTCCACGAACCCATGTTCCGCAGCGAACCCCTTGTCCATGAACAGGTTCGTCGCCCCACAATCCAACAGCAGGACTGTTTCTACGGCTCTCCCCTCGGGGTACACCGTACCCAACAAGGTAAGGTGTTCCTCCGGATCCGCTGGAGAGCCCAACATCCCGATCGTACACTCACGACCTGCATCTTCCGCAGGTACCTGCCTCCTCGGGCTCACGGGTTGATCCGTTATTCTGTTACGGCGACGAGTCCGCCGGGCTGCTGCCCCGGGCTGGTCCGCCGGGCGAGTGAGCGGGAGAGAGGCGAGGGTAGGAGTATACATCTATATAGTAATAACGGATGCCCAGCATCCGGTCTTTAGTGATAGTACAATGTTCGAATGTAAACAACAAATACGGCGGAGTCCGCCCTCGGGGTGGCCCGCCGGAACGCGTCTCGGCGCGTCCCGCGTCTCGACCGCGTCGATCTCTAACACATTACCCTACCCGTACCTTCTAGTCCCGTGTGTTACTATTCAGGTTTGCTGGCAAACCTTATAGCTGCACTATCAAGACTCGCTCAGACCATCCTCTAGCCAAGGTCAGGGATCAGGTCTTGTGCCAATTGGCCAGGGACTGTCAACCTCCTATTCAAGACGGACCACTGAAGAATTTGTTCCAATGTCCTGGCAAACTCTCTCATGACAAGATCGTCCCATATCTCATTGACAATCTGCAAACACTCTCCAGCACCATCTACCGGGACGACTGCCTAGATCATCTCGAGCCTATCAGAAGAATGGCTTCATATAAGGCTTGCCAGCAAGCCTGAATAGTAACACACGGGACTAGAAGGTACGGGTAGGGTAATGAATGTAATAACGGATGTCTAACTACTACAGGGTGCTAGTTAGACATCTTCAAACACACCTCCTAATAGGTCTCCGAGAGGGTCTCCGAGAGGGTCTCCGAGAGAGTCTCCGAACGGACCTCCGTACGAGGTGAAAACCTACATCCCGCGTGTGTACGACATGCGTACCGCGGATGCCTATAATACTTCAGAGATTTGATGGAAGCACTGTTATAGCGGTCACGTGACGCATCGGACGCGCCGTACGCGACTCCCGTAGACGACTCCCGCCGGGGGTACTTTTCGGTGTTGTTGTTTTGATGTAGAACTAGTACCTCTGTAATAGCTCTACATCCGTTATTACATTTAGATGTCTACCCGTACCTTGCCTCATTCCTGCGTCCCGTCAGCCTGCCCAGCGGGATCCCCATCGGGGTCGCTCCCGGGCCTTACAATAAGTCTCCATTGGTGATCGGTTCATGCAACCATTTCATTTGCATCTTGCCCATAACCATTTCATGTCGTGAATGAACAAATCCAAACCCGCCGCCAACATACAGATTTCATCAACCAGATAAACCTCTGTTTTTCTATTATTATACCTATATATATATATATATATTCTGCCCGTGTTTTCCACTTGCACCTGCTTCTTCTCCATGTCTCTGCCGCTCAAGAAATGAGACGAACTCCCGTTCAGACCAACGGTGGCAACGCTCAAACATTACGGCCATTCAAATCACCCAAGATCGCCGCTCAGTAGCAAAACGGCCGCGTGCGCATTCACAAGGATGTGGATCATGTGCGCTGTGTGGACTGAGCGGTTTCCGCACGAGTTTGTTCAGGCATCGTTGTCCGCGGAGGCATCATTGTCCACGGGCGGGAAGACCAAAGTGAAGTACTCGTATGCATCCTTAAAGCTATCCTCAGGAGTAGTGGTGGCATGACGGAGAAGATCCCCTCGCAAGATCACGGGTGTTTTATCGGTCCAAGGGAATTTGTATTGATGATGATTGGAACCTACAACCAAATACGTGCCGGGATCTTGACCACTTGAGACGTTCACCATTGCGAGAAGACCTCGGGAGGTCTGAGCTTGTAGAGTGGGAAGTAACCCTGCTCTGCGAGCGACCTCTACCCCTTTATAAGGAGACCGCCAAGTCCCAAACGTTCCTTGATAGCAGGCAGACTGCCGCGTCATCTCATTGACCAGGGTCATCTGGCTCTCATAATCTGTTGGCATATGGGTTGCATAGATATCGGTCATCTTGTTGACGACCTCATCGAGCTCCGAAACGAATTGGCAGGCAGAATGATGCGATGCCCCTTGAAGGAAATCGGACGACAGGGTCGTGTTCTTCCTGTCATACGTCAGATTGAACACGCCGGATTCGTCTGCTTGATCGGCGTATAGGTCCACGAATTCATCTGGGATCCATTGGTCCATGTGAGGTGTTATCCACTCCAGCGAGCGCAGTACCGCATTTGCTTCTTCACCGGATAAACCCGCCTCACAGTATACTAGAAGGGGCTGCCCGTCCTGGCTTTTGATCAAAACATTCCCGCCGTATACCTCCAGGACGTCTGTTTGTTCCTTCCATGTAGCCATCATAGCAGACCAATGGCCTCGTTCCCAGTCCGCCTTTTTTGAGGAGCCACCCTGGTCGCCTCCAGGTCGGCCACCGTCAATGCGAGCACGATGGTCTTCCAATTCTTTTGTGTCTGGCCCTCGGCCAGTCTTTGCAGCGGGGGTGCTTGCCGACGCAAGGCATCCAGCCTCATACTGCTGTCTCCAGACCGAGTTTCCAAAAAGTCTTTGAACGTGTTGTGCATGAGTTTTTTCCAATTATCGAGTCGATTGTCTTGACCCTTGTGCTCGTGAGACGGGTCATTGAGCGAGTCCAAGATGTTGTCTACCATATCCCGGAGGGCGGTCAGCTATACCCATGATAGATTGGTAGGGCAGGATACTTACCCAGTCCTGTCGAATCGTCGTGACCCCAAAGAAGAGGTATGTCGACAGGGACGCTGTATAAGGCCTGGCAGTCAACCTGCCGGGTCTTGAGGTAATAAGGTCGCGGGACTGGGGAAAGGTAACGGTAGGCATAGTAATGTAATAACGGATGTCTAACTACTACAAGGTACTAGTTAGACGTCTACGAGAACATCTCCTAAAAGGTCTCCGAGAGGGTCTCCGAGAGGGTCTCCGAGAGGGTCTCCAAACGAGACCCCGAGGCCACGCGCACCGTAGATCACGCATCATGTGACGCCTATAATACGCTGTTCCCGTGCGCGGCTTTGTTTTTGGCTTTGGCTTTGGCTTTGACTTTGGTGTCGACTTTGGTCGCGGGATCTTGATCTTCGGGAAGAGAGGTGAATTAGCTATCTCATCTGTCGGTGAATCGGAGCGCGGATCGTCTCCAGGTACTATCTTTAGCACTTACTTTGAGCATCGGGCCCGCCTTTGTATTGGTCTGCTTGGCAAGGGAAAGAAGATCGCCTTGAGTATTACATTGATCCTCGCGCAGTTCGTCTTCTTCAAAGTCGTCCGGTCGGTTTCCATCATTGTCTTGTTCATCTTGTTCATCTTGTTCGTCTTGTTCGTCTTGTTCGTCTTGTTCGTCTTGTTCGTTTCGATTGACTGCTTCTCAATCATCGTCCTGTTCGTTTCGATCGACTGCTTCCCCACTTTGCATCGACCGTACCTGTTGAAACATATACGTATACGGAGTTATAAGTGTTTCATTTGCTTGAAATCAACTTGACCACATTGGAACTTGCCTCTTGCCCTCTTGCAGCTTTGTCTGCAAGATAACTTGCGGTAGCAGATTTGATTTCAGCACGTGAGACCGATGCTAAACCATCACTGAGCTTGTGATCCTTCAATCTGCCCTGATTAGGCACCTTTCTTTTTGCTATCTCTTGCCTTTATAGCTGAACGGCATCCAGGTCCTCACACTTGTTGGCCAGCCGTTTGATCTGCTCAGTCTTGCTCCACCCTAGCTTGATATCAAAACCAAATAGCTCAGATTTCCCACCCTCGCCCCACGCTCCTTTTGTGACTTGCATGTTCTTGGCCTTCCGATCTTCTTCGTAGCAATCGATCGTGTGGTAGAGCTCCGGATGACTCGATCATAACTCCAGTGAAACAATCACAGGATCTTTCCGTCTAGTCAGCCGCCGGTAAAGGTCCAGGACTTGGCTCTCCAGAGCGGACGTATTGGCAATGCCTGATTGCAAGACTTCTATTGCTTTAGCTTTTGGATCTGTGAATGTCACACTGAAGCTTGTAAGTCATCGATCATCCAGTAGGGATAACAAGTACAGTTGAGTTGGCATGTCCTGTCATGATGTTATAGCCATCCGCGGTATGACTATCACGTATATCCGAACGGGTACTCCGCCAGCAGCTCCGGCGGAGCAGGTACTTATACGATACTATAGGTAATGTCTAACTACTACGATCACTATCGTAGTATGTAGTTCATCTGCTATCACACTTATTTATCTATATGCTACCCTACATAAGTCCCAGAGAACACACAGGTTGCTGGCAACCTAACACATGACAATTGAGATTTTGCCAATGCCCAATCAGCCAACAGCCGTTTATTGAAATCTGTTGGCAAGACATGGTATTATACATTGTGACAACTGGTAGGATCCATCTATAAGAATCTGCATGAGAATACATCATCATAGGATTCTGGTTGTATCTTATTACAGCTCACAGAATCATCATACTTGTACATAGCTACAGCTGCTCATGAACATGATCACAGTTGACTCTTAATGAGATTGTAGTATTGACCACGCATGAAACCCAGTCCCTCATGTGTTCCCGCTTCCACCAGTCTTCCATCAGCAATCACAGAGATACTGTCCGCATTCTGAATGGACTGGAGCTTGTGTGCAACCACAATGACAGTACTTAAGAACAGAAGCCATACTAGTAGTCAGCCACAACTAATCTGATTGCTCTTTTGTTTCTGAACAACTCACCGGCCTTTTGAAGCATTTTGTAGTGCTTTCTCTACTTCAGCTTCACTGGCTGCATCAAGAGAAGATGTGGCTTCTGTGAATCAGAAGTTATGTAGGCCATTGTCAGGTATGATAGAAGCTGTCTTGCACATTCTGTCACCCACCATCTAGTAGAAGAATGCTGGGGTTGCGCAAAAGTGCTCGTGCAATGCAAAGCCGTTGCCGCTGACCACCAGACAGCCTAGTACCTTTCAATCCAATGTCTGTAGCAAAACTGTCAGGCAAGCTCTGAATAAACTCTAGGATGCTGGATTTGCGACTAGATATGAGCCTGTTTTTCCCAGCTGTGATAATCAAGATTGAATGCTCACCATGCTTGTTTGCAAACATGTTCTAGTTCAGCTTGCGAGACATTTTCTGGGTCTTTGGCACCAAGCTATCACAGCATGTAAGCTGACAAGGTCATCATAAGGACACATCAAAACCCTCAAAGTCCTGGACTTACACACAAGTTGAATCTGATGTCGCCTTCAAATAGGACAGAGTCTTGCGAGACAATTGCAAGATTTGATCGAAGTGTTTCGAGGGGGATCATCTGCAGATCAATACCTCCAACTGTGATTGTGCCATGAGACGGATCATAGAAACGCTGCAGCAGTGCAAGTATTGCTGAGTGGAAAATGACTCAGCTATTGCGTCCTTGGAACTTCCATTCATGACAGGCTTACTACTCTTTCCCCCACCACTAGTTCCAGTAATGGCATTGACTTGTCCTCCTGCTATACAGAGGTTTAGACCATCCAGCGCTAGACGATCCTTTCGTTTTGGGTATTGCATTTTCACCCCTCCACTACAAAAGATTATAGGTGTGTGGCTGTCAGGTTGTGCAGAGGTGGTGATGTTCCACCTAGAATCAGAGGCAGCAAGACATACAAGATGATATCTCCTCTCATTGCTTTGCCAATGAGGCCTGCTTGGTCTGGCAAGAGCTCTTTATGTGTGTGCTGTGGGACCCGCTGGAGATGCTCTTTCAGGGTTGACCATCCGTGCATGGCACGTGTAACTTTGTTCACATAGTGCAGCAGTCTGTTGATGTTGAGAGCGATCAGTTCAATGTATACCTACATTGAGCATTTTGATCTGAGTCATGGCTTTGCAAGATACTCACGGTGACAGGACAAAGACCACTGAGAATGCACCTTCATAAATTGTGAAGAGCGCAATGGGTCTCTAGGACAGACTTCATCAATAGGGTTCTGATGATGTAGGTAATATAGATACAGAACCAGCTTACAATGTCACCTTGAACATACAAGCGTGCACCCCACCTATTTCATAGAGAAGAAAACATCAGCACATGGATCCTACCTCTTATCTTCAGCTGCAAACCACATACCAGTTCAACAGAGCTGCCACAGCAAAAGCAATAGATTCTCCAAGTGCTTGAGCGACGTGGTTGACGCTCTGCCATTTACGGAGTAATCTAGGGTCCGCTGTGCAGGCTGCAATGGACCTGATAACTTCTTCCTCTTGACCAAGGATGCCTATGGTATTGATTGCATCCACCGCATCATTTATAGTTGTTGAGATGGTGTTCTGAGGCTCTTCTTGACACTTCTCCACTTGCTGCAAAGCATACATCTGCAACCACCCAGTTGCTCCTGCAATTATGATGAATGGGAATACCAAGGCCCCAAATTTGGCTGATAAGACCATGCTCATTGATAGAGTCCCAATTACACCTAGGGTCAAAGCTGCAACCTATCTCACACATGGAAATTAGTGAGGTATGTCTCAACAAGATTCTTGTTGACTCACCCGGCTTAGGCTGACAGTCAAGGTTTCTGCAATGATTGCAGAGTGTTTGGTCAAGTTGGTGGTGAGCATTCCAGCCGAAATAGCTTCCCCTTCAAAGTATGAAATCTCTTGACTGAATAACGATTTGACACTGGCAGAAATCAGGCGCCTGTCAGTGCTTCTCTGGGCCACACCAGCAGAAACTTCTGATCCATAGATTATCCCGCTCCACCCAAAAGCGTATCCAAGCCAGATCAATGCAATGGCACCCATGCTCAAGGTCTCTGCTGCTCCGCTCAATTTTGCACTTGAACGTCCAACCTGTAACTGTGCAACTACCCTCAAGCCACCATTCAAAATGGTGAAGAGTATTGCCAGATAAAACGGCAACTTTTTGGCAGACAAAAAATGTAGTAGCCTTGTTCTACTCATGGCAGTGCTGTCCTCCTTTTCTATTGAGGGTTGTCTCATAGAGGTCATGTTTGTCAGGCCAGTCCTACGTAGGGGAAGACTGGTGCTTGAGACTGTTGACTCTGCTTGACTGCTGAGGGATGTTGCTGTCCTGGATTGTTCCTCAGTGTTGGTTGTGTATTTGTTGTTATAAATACGGCCGGTGTTGACCAGACGTGCAAAGGTCTGGTCTGGACGGTCAGGCCTAGATATTTCAGAATATGTACCTGTGTCCACAACACAGCCTCGCTTCATGACAATGATCTTGTGAGCCAGTTGAGCAAATTGCAACCGGTGAGCAATTGATATGATGGTCAACCCCCTTTGCTTCTGTTCGACTTCAAGATTGTTCCGGATCTTCAGCTCCATATCACTCGATAATGCACTTGTCGCCTCATCCAGGATCAGAACAGCTGGGCTGCCAACAAGCGCTCTTGCAATAGCAATTCGTTGTCGTTGTCCTCCAGACAATATGCCATTCCGGCCGCCTGCAATTAGAGTGTCAAGTCCCTCTGGCAAGTCTTGCACAAATTCCCAAGCTTCAGCCTTCTTGAGTGCTTCAATGCATAAAAGGCGTGTGGATGTGACCTTTGCCGCATCTTCTCCCTCAATGTCCTTTTGATATGCAAGAGGTGTTCCACTTAAACCCATGGCAATGTTCTCAAAAATGGTTCCTGCCAGTAGTTGAGGTTCCTGATGGACTACACTGATGCAGGACCGGAGAGATGCAAGATTGTAATTGCGCAAATCCGTTCCATTCAATTTGACGATTCCACTTCCAGATACAGTGTCCTGCTCTGCAGATGGTTTCTTTGGTTCTTCAGGAACAAGCCCCTTTTCAGCTAAGGTGGTAGTTGGGGACTGTTGTAGACGGGCTTGATGGTCTCTTCTTTCATTGTTTCCGTCCTGATCATGTGGGTGAGGCAGGTTTGCTGTACTGGGATCATACTGACGGACCAGTAGGGCTGCAATTGATGACTTGCCTGCTCCAGATGGTCCAACAAGAGCTGTCAGTTGACCAGCCTCTGCTGTGAAGGATACATTGTCCAGAGCTTTCATATTGGGCCTTGAGGGATATGCAAATGTGACTTGATTGAAAGACACAGTTGGAGTGTAGCCACAATTTGGTGAGAAGGGCTTGAGTTGGATACCAGATGGATCCCGGACATCAATAAATGGTTGTCTTTCGATTTGATGCCTCAAGACCCGCACACAGGCGATGGCGCTGAGAAATCCAGATATTGCAGACAAGCGGCCATACAGAACAAAGTGCATTGCAGTATAGCACATCATCACCTGGAAGCAAGCATGCACTATAAGTCTTTTGTTGTGTAATTTCCTCCAGATTGTTGCAATGTCAATGAGATCAAACTCACATTGAATATAGATCCGAATAAAAATCCTTCCTCCTTGAGTGTTGTACCATAATAATAGCCAGCAGCCAAGATACTGCAGAAGGCAAATTGGCACCATGCTATCTTGATTGACCGGACCAGGGTAGGAAATCGCTGTAATCTCTCAATATGTTTGAGCATAGTTGTATCCCAGTGCTTAAGCAACGGTTTGGACATGGCAAATGTCTGTATCACCCTGATACCAGAGAAGCATTGCTCAAGGAATGTATTTGAGAAGCCTTGTACCGTTTCAGTCTTGGCTTCTTGCCCCCTCAGTGTTCGCTCAATAAAGGTAAAGAGCAGAAGTAGCCAAATAAAGAAGGGCAACAGGACTCCAGCAAGCTTTGGCAAGGCCACAAACGCAACCACCAAGTTCTGCAGGAGTTGTGTCATTGTCAGGTCACATCAAGGGATGCAACACAAATGAACACCCACTGCAATAAAGTATACTCCAAGATGCATTGTCCAGCCAAGGTCCTCCCCATAACCATTGTTGATAGTATCAATGTCCTTGTCAGCCCTTGTGGTGATCTCTCCACAACCATGAGTGTCAAAATATGCTGTATCCTGAGCAAGGATAGATGACATATATTCCAACCGCATTGCTGTAGCTAGTTTCCTTGAAGCCTTGGTATCTGGAGGGCAAACACAATCACTGATATATCAGCCCCTTGACTGATGGCAAACTAGTGCAGCATGAACTGACAACATGCAAACCAAGTATAGCTGCCTATGAGAACGGCAAACATGGGAGCCAACATGTAATAGGCAGAGTCTGTTCCAACTTGTTTGCGCTGTTCAGCTGTCTTGCTGAGGTCGGTGATCCCATTCAACCAAAGGCCAATTATGTATTCAAATACCGGTAGGCATGCAGCTGATACCATGACTCCAATGAAACCAATTGAGTACAGTACCCAGGGATGAGCGAAAAATAGGCTTGGTGATACCCATAAAGGAGTAAGAGGACCAGCAAAAGAAAGGGGATAGAGAATGTCTGGGAGAGTTGATCGGTGCCCAAAAACTTGCTTGCTTTGGCCGTTACTTTGGTCCGGAGCAAGCTGTTCCTTGGCGAGCTTGTCTTGCGAGGTAGGCCGAGCTTTCATCTTTGCCTCTTCCTGCGAGAGAGGCTGCGCTTTTGTCTTTGTCTGAAAGGGCCACATCGTGGCGAGATTCGAATACGGGTCGACTTGAGGCTCTCCGCACGCTCGACTCACCTCCCTTTCGATCGAGCGTTTGTATGTGGTGATATATAGCCAGCGTCAAGTCTTCTTCACCTCGGATCACCTGATACCACCGTGATCTAGGAACAAAGGTAGTTCCCCTTTCACGCTGAAACGAGGTCGCGCCATCGCGGGGCGATCAGGGGAATCGGTCGTCATCACAAATTCGCGGATCCTTTGTCGAAGGTCTTTCTGTTTCATCATCGACAGTATCGCTTTCACTCGGTCGAAAGCGTACAGGAGACAACGTGGTACGAAGAAGGAGATGAATCTGTCACCGTCTCTCGGATTTCGCGTTGATCATTATGTCATTATGACGGTTGTGCCGCGCGAGCGGGAAATGGGTATCGGCTCGGCCAGCTTGACTGGCTTACGAGGGTCCGATATTCGTCGAACAAGGGGTTTCCTTATATCCATGTTCTTTATGGTAAGTTGAGATCAAGCGTAGGGACGAGCAGATTGTAGCAGGCGTCATCGTTATTAAAATCACCGCCGAGAACGAGTGGCCGAATTCAACATCGGACATGTCCACGCGCTCAAAGCAATCGTGGACTCGACCAGGCATTGCGGCCAAGGATCAACAGCTTGCAAGGCATCCCATCACAGCTTACACAGAAAAGATAATGCATAGACGCTGCCATCTGCATGAGTTGCGCTTATCGCCTTCGTCCCGCTGCACGAATTCACGAGTCCGAACCGTGAGCCCGTCCCCTTCGAGCGCGTTCATTGCGCCGAAAAACAAAGAGGCGCTGAGGGTAAATCGGAGCCTCTCTGTGCCGAACTATCCCCTCCCACCCGTAGTTGCTCGATTGCTGAATCTGAGCGAGAAGGCAGGTGATATACATGGTACGATGCATATCAACTTACGATCTCGATGATGGCTTTCCTTTGGGCGCTTGGCGCGGGCGGGCCGATGACCGATCTCGGGTGACGTGACGTCAGAAGGAGAAGCTGCGAGCTGACCGAGCGAGGATGGGGAGGGGAATGCTATCATCTATCATCTACAGAGCCACAGACTCGCATTATTAGTCGTTGCAGGCAAAAAACATCATAGGGGCTAGCGAATCTACACAAATCCTTTTATCGCCATGTCGTCTCTGCTCAGCCGACTGGGAGGGAGCTCTTCCCGCCGCTCGTCCGTATCCGACGACCCGAACAAACCTACCACGAGCGAGATCAAGACGTCGCCGGCTCCGGGTTGTGGGCCGAAGAAGAAGACGGTGTATTCGAAAGAACAGGAAGACAAGGTGAGCAGGAAGACTGTTCGGAAATTACAGAGCTTGGGAATTTATCGCGATGCACCCTGTCCTAGATCGAGGAACTTCGGCAGGTCAGCTCAAACCCCGCCCGACCCGTATCTACGAAAGCCTAACCCCGCCTCATTGCTATCTCGATTTCAACCTGATACTCGCAATACAGTATGCATTCACCCTCCTACTCCCTGAAAGCGATCCATACCATCCTTGGGAGAAACGTTTCCTATCAGACCCAGGCTGTATGCCTCGGTACTGTCGGGCAGCGAAATGGAAGATGGACAATGCGAAAGAGAGGGTCAGGGGGACGATCGAGTGGAGGAGAGAGTTCAAGCCGGATTTGATCAAGCCTGATCATGTCAAGATCGTGAGCATCCCGTTCTCTCTTGGCGGATAAACCTATGGATGTGAGAGGCGGACGTGGTTATTGATCGCGGTTGATTGTGTTGTAGGAAGCCGAGACGGGCAAGATGTAAGCCACCCCAACCCCAACTCGAATAAACCGGATCTCAAGCCGTCATATCTACAGTTACGGTCGCAGCAGATGCTGATATTAGTGCTCTTTACCCCCGCTCGTTAGTATTGTCAACGGATTCGACTTTGACGGTCGACCTATTATTTACATGCGACCTGGACGGGAGAACACGCAGAAGAGTCCGAGGCAGATCGAACATCTGATCTTTCACCTGTCAGTCCATTCATCCTAGCCTATGATGTCGGGAGATCGAATTGCTTATCTCAACTGACTCGACTTTTCGTTGTTTTGCTATAATACGATACCCCGACTCGCAGCGAACGAGCCATCGACCTAGCCCCACCTGGAGTAGAGACGGTTACTATCGTGGTGGACTATGCTTCGGCGACTTCGCAGAGTAATCCGTCGATCGGGACGGCTAGGCAGGCGTTGAACATCTTGCAGAACCATTATGTGAGCACGGTCGCCCACCCATCGCGTCGCATCGGCTTTGAGCCGTGTCGATGGCATAACGTAGGAGGCGAGTCGTCGATGCTGATGTTCTGGTGCATTTCGGTGGGTATGAATTTTGTTCGTAGGTCGAGAGGATGGGAAAGGCTATCGTGGTCAACATGCCGTGAGTCCTCGTCTTCTTTCCTCTGCAGGAGAATCAAAATAATGGAATGATACTGAGGACTGCGCTATCGGTGTACGTGATCTTTTCAGATGGTGGGTGAACGCCTTTTTCCAAGGGATTCAGCCGTTCATGGATCCGGTCACCAAGGAAAAGGTACGCATGATTCGTCTCTTTCCTGGGCTCGTGGATGACCCGAGCTGATATGACGATGTGCAGATTCGATTCAACCCGAACATGACCGAGATCGTGCCCAAGGAACAGCTTGATACCGAGGTAGGTACAGTGGAAGGCCGCTCTTTTGAACGGGACCGGGGCGATTTGATCTGATTTTCGGTTGTGGCTTTGTAGTTTGGCGGTGATAACAACTACAAGTTCGACCATGATATCTACTGGCGTACGCTCGTCCAGGATTGCTACTTAGTGAGTAACCGGCCGACTTCGATACTCGGACGAGTTGGATGGATCGCTGACTGTCGTGACTTAGGCACCTGACGGCGGCAGACTCGACAAGGATGGGAAGCCCACGGTAGCTCCCCTTGGGAACGGTGCCAAGGCCGCTGCACTCGGTCTCGAAGCTGCCGGTGGGATGCCCGAGATGCAGCAAGAACAGGCAGAGACTAGACCGGGCATGTCCCCGGCCATGGTGGACGAGAACCAACGATCAAGCTATATGGCAGGAGCTGGGGCTGGTGCCGGTGTCGCTGCGGGCGTTGCTGGTGCTGCGGCTGCAGGCTCGGCAGCGAACTCGGAGAAGCCGCCAGCAGCCGGACCCGATCAAGATGCTCAGCTCAACACGAAGATGGAGAACCTGCGTACATCGTCGATCAAGCAAGAATCGCAAACGCCAAGGCGCTCTGTCGACTCGGTCCGATCTGCGGCGAGCGTCGAGGTCGAGACTGCCCCTGGGCCGCCTGCCGGGCCGGTCGTCTTTGATCACCCGCCTACCGAGGAAGAAAAGATGGAGGCTAGGCGTTTGATGGAAAAGGAAGAGGCGGCCGTGTCGAGAGCTTCGTAGCGGAGTGTGACGATCGAGTCTGCAGTCAAGCCAAGAACGGCACGTTTGTATCGCAAGAGCCCGGTCGAATGATATATGCGCATGCGTCGTATAGAATATGATATCCAGTCTCGTTACATCCTGTCCAGAGGCGTCAGACTGAGCAGCCTCATGGCGCTCGCCAAAACATCCCGGGTACACAAGAACAAGTACATCCTGGCCTTGGCAAGCTCCTCCTCCTGACCCTGAACCTTGAGCGTCTCCCAAGCAGATGATACGGCGTGAGTGAGCTTGAACATGTAGGTGACGATCCCTGAAGCCTGATAATCCCTCATGGCGTCGTTGACGAGTTGGGGGTAACAAGCGAGGAGGTAGATGATCTCCCTGGCCTTGGGCTCGGTGATCAATTCGGTCTTGATCTGAGTGACGTCCTCGGGAAGGACGATGTTGGGGTTCTTTCGCTCGATCGAACAGAGTCGGACGTGCGAGTACTGGATGTAAGGGCTGCGCGGGCGGTAAAAGTGGCGTAAGCACGGGGATTTGCGATCAACGAGATCGTTCCGGCTTACCCAGTATCTCCCTCGAAAGAGGTCATTCGCTTGATGTCAAACGTGTAATCGTTGATTCTGCAGACGGATTATCACTCAGAACCCCCGTCGTTACGGCATATCAACCCAAAGTGTTGTACCTACCGCCTGGCGGACATGTCCTGGATCTTGACGGCGGTCTGACCGACAACGTCGCTGGTGTACTCGGGGTCTTCCACCTGAGCGTACTTTTCCTCGTTCTTGGCCATCTGCTCGTGCATGCTGTCCTTGGCCTCGGCGAGAATTTCGTCCAAAAACTTGACGGTTCCCTTTCGGGTCGACATTCCCATCACCAGACCTGCGAGCCGGAGTGGACGACAAAACCCAGGTCGTCAGCTACGTGTTCACGGGAGCGAAAGTTGAGAACCCGAATACACACCAAAGTTGACGTGCTCCAATCGGTCGGCCCATTCGTGGCCCATCAACTCGAGCATCTTGAACAGCTGCTTGTTGTGCAAGTCTTGCTGGGCAGCGACGACGTAGATCATCTTGTCAAAGTTGTACTTTTCGTATCGCTGAGCGGCACCACCGAGATCACGGGCGATGTAGATCGAGGTCCCGTCTGTGCGTCGTGAGGTAACATAATACGATCGAAGTGAGCAACCAGTGCCACAATTTCGAGTAGTCGGACCTCGACTCACCGGCCTTCTTGATGACGACCTTGCCCAACTTGTACTTTTCCAGATCACACAGATAAGCCCCCTTGTCCTGGACCAACATGTTCTTCTCTTGCATGATCTTGAAGGCCTCTTCCATCTTTTCCGGCTTAACGGCAGCTTCTCCGGCGTACGAGTCGAAGTGGATGTTGAGTCGCTTGTAAGTCTCTTCGAGACGTTTGATGGAAAAGTCACGGAATCGGGACCAGAGGGCTAGGGCTTCCTTGTCGCCTGCGGAATAAGGAAAATATGTCGAAGTTTTTAGCCCGAGGTAAGGTGGATGATAACTGTGAAAAGAGCCTCGGACTAACCATCTTCCATCTTTTTGAAGAACGCTCGGGCTTCGTCGTGGATCGAAGGATCAGCCTCGGCCTCCTGGTTGATCCTGACATACACCTATCACGAACCACCGAAAATCTCTACCTCGATCAGCCTTTATGTTCACTCCCCGCGGGTTCTTGAGAGGACTCACATGGTACAAATGCGTAATCGCATTCGCCTCCAACTCCTCCTCCGTCCCAAACCTCTGGAACCCTACAGCGAGCAAGCCGAACTGTTTACCCCAATCCCCGAGATAGTTGATCCGGGTCACTTCCCACCCGTGCGCCTCGTACAGGTTGGCGAGGAAGGCACCGATGATGGTCGATCGGAGGTGGCCGGCGTGGAAGGGTTTGGCGATGTTGGGAGAGGAGAATTCGACTGTTGCCCATGGGAAAATACGGTATGGGAGAGAAGGAGAGGGGAAGGGTCAGTTAGAATTCGTCGCTTTGAGGCAATCGAAGCAGGTTTCGCTGGCGGATGAACAAGCAGGGGTGAAAAGAGAGAGAGAGAGAGAGGAGACTTACCGATAGCCTTCTTCCCCTGCCCAGACTTGTTACTCCCATACCCCGGTTTCTGAGCAGCCTTGTCCAGCGGGTTGACGCTCGTCCCTACCGAACTCGATGGAGTGGCATTTCGGATCTGTCGGAGGACTTGGCGGGTGAAGGTGTCGTGGCTGTAAGTGTAAGAGGAGGAGTTGTCGTTATCGGCGGAGATTGGAATGAAAGTGGAAGTGGAAGGTGGGACGTGTTGGACAGAGCAGATAGGTCGTAAGGGAATGTGAAAGATGGGAATCAAAGTCGATCAGCGAGGTGATTAGTGGATAGATCAAAGTAGGAGCGCCTGGGGGGACTGACTTGAGGGTGAAGGATACGAATCCTTTTTCAGATGTACATTTGCTGAGGTATTCGTCCGGTTTGAACTAGATTCATCGATTCAATTCCAATGAAGCAAGATAAGCAACTTTCCATCACATTTCTGTTCTGACGATGACCAGACCCCCCAATTTCCCACAATCATCCAATCGGGGAAAACGTCGAAACTCACATGCGCGACGACCTTTTCCGCCCATTGATCAGGTTTCCCACCGAGCCTGAACCTGGGCATGGCCACATACAGATCTGCCTTCTTGTTCCCGACATCGATACCAGGGTAAGCGGTCTCCAGAGGGATATCTACGGCTTCGGAGACGATCTTGGCAGCGGCGATACGGTAGGCTTCGATTATGGCCGTCTCGGTGTCGGCGCCCTTTACTGAAGGGACAGGGGGGAGGTAGTAGGCGTCCCCCTGTTTGAGCTCGGTAGAGGTGGAGGTGGAAGCCATTTTGAGGAGATGTTGAGGTTGAGCGTGGGGTTGAATGAAAGTTGGGCGGGTCGGGATGATCCTAGATACGGGACGGAGAGCGGTACGAGAAGAGAGCCGTAAGGTACCTCGGATCGACGGGCCGATGAACGAGGACGTGATGGGCGGATATGTCTTAGAGACAAGGAGTGTGGGGTTTTACGTATGTTAAGGATGTATTTCGGTAGACACAGTGTCTGTATCTATGATTTCCCTTCTTGTGGTGGGTTGACTCGATAAGTCTCGCTCGAACTCTGAAAGGGACGTTGACCGGGCTCAAAAGTCAAAGACACCGGGTCACGTGACCCAAAGTGAAAGGAGCGTTTCAGGTTGCACCTCCAGTAGCCAAACAGGCTTATATATCATCGAACGAATGTGCATGTTATAATAATCTTCATGAAAGCCACTCCCTTCAACAACTCGGAAGCACAAGCAAGAACGAGACCCGGAAGATCAACCAGTGACCCGCCTCAGTTCTTCCCTCGCGCTTTCGTCTTCGCCTATCGTGGGATCGTGGCTGCGACCATAAGGGTCGTTTATCGTAAAAACGGATCGAACCGCCGACATCAGAGCAACTCGTGCGAGAAACCCTTTCATGTCCCGCTCGTCTTCCCACCTCGTTCTCATCCTCAATCTCCTTTATCCTATCGCATCGTGTCGTCGTAATGTGCTGTAATGTAAACCTTTGAAGCAGGTTTCCCATGATCCCTCCAAAATCCCAAAATATCAAACCAAACCTCAAGCTATGAACCCCCTGAAAACCCGAATCGTGAACCGAGAGACCGAACCGAGAGCGAGAGCACCATCCATCCTAGTCGACTAGTTGATGATGGCCAAGCTCCAATCCTTGAACCAAGCCGTCTGGTCCTTAGGCGACGCCCAATCGGTCGAGTGTCCTCTGTAAGTTTCGTCAGACAAAGGAAACCCACCCAAGCAGACATTAGCTCGCGCTGAACTCGGTCCCCTGTGAAAAAGACTGGAACTCACCCGAAGAAGGTCTGAGCCTGAATACCCCGGAAGACAGAGTCTCCCCGGGTTCTCAGTTCGATACCCTGGACGTTGAGCTTGGAGATGCCGTCGACGAAGATCTCGATCGCACCTGCAAGGTAATGAATGTACCATCAAAGCAGGGCAGAACGGGTTAGTTTTCCCTTCCCGGTTCGGCGCAGACGGGAATGATCCCGAGGGGTCCGGGAGGGGTAAGCGTGGGAGAGGGGATGAGACTGACCGTTCGAGCTCCCAACATCGTTGAGCTTGATCCGCTGGGTGACGGTCACCCATTGCCCAGGGGTAAAGTAGAACGACTTCCTTCCGACTGTAACCAGATATCAACGAAATCATACTATGAGCCATCTTGCTCTCGCGAGAGTATCGAGCTTCCATACATAGCAACTAGTGCAGGGCGAATGATGGAAAGGGAAAAAAGGAGGACGAGGAGAGGATACTGACTGGAATCGCCGTAATCCGGGTTACAATGGCTCTCGGGTCCGGTCTGACAGTAAGATTCGGGCTGATGAGCGGATGTAGGGAGGTAGTTGTAGGTCTCGCCCGCTCCGTCCGTTCCTGTTTGGTCGTAGAGATGAAAGCAGATGTCAAGAAGAATCAGAGAGATAGAGGGGTAAGAGGTAGATGGGGGGTCAGTCTCGACAGTCAGGATGCGACGAAAAGGTTAAGGTATAAGATGAGGAAAGGAAAGGAGTAAAGGAGACTCACGCCACATCAACCTCGAGCTGAAACACCCGTCCCGTCCTTCTTGCCTCCCACCCGAACACCCAACCGCCTCCTCCTCACTAACCCCTCCATAAACCCCAGGCAATTTCCCTCCTTTATTAAACTGGAACCCGTTCTCGAACATGACCGAGTACCCAAACGTGATCTCTTTAGCCCGCGTCAGGTCGTCCTCCCAAGACCCCGTTCCTTTGGTGAAAGTCGACCCCCAGTGAGGACCGGAGGTATACCAGCTCATCCCTCCCTTAGGAGCTTGCTTGTTCCCGGGGTTGATGCTCCCCTGGGGGAAGAAACTGACGATAGCGCCTTTCCCATCCGGAGCGTGCCCCTGAGGAGGTTTACCGCCCTTGTTGATAGGGATCCCGGCTTGGAGGTTGAACCGGTCAGACAGGGCTGTGGAGGTCGTCCAAGCTGATTTGGAGGGGTAACCGCCAAGGGGGAAGAGGCGGGATTGCATGTATGATACGTCCCTGACTTCCAGGTCGGCAAAGCCAGCGTCGTGAGCGATGGGTGCGGCGGAGGTCAGGTTGAGGGTCGCCAGGACCAGGATGATTTGGAGGAGGGATACGAGGGAGATCATCTTGTGATCTTGTGATGATGTAGGTATAGGTATCGAGATTGAAAGTGAAGTTTGGTTTTGGTGAAAGTAAAAGTCAATGTGCGAGATGGACGACCTGGAATTGGAGTAGGTGCGTGCTGTCCTTTGGGGAGATATATAGACCGTCGAGGCTATGTGCTGTGTGTATGCAACGTGTGCTTTGTGTGTGCTGTGTCGAGCGAAGTGGTGGGTAGATAGTGGAGAGTCGAGAAACGTTCCGGTCAACGGATAAAACGTTTGTTCGAGGTCAGGGCGAGTGAGGTGTGAAGAGTAAAGGGTGTCGGTGAGACAAGAAGAAGGAAGGGAGTAGTTTCGCAACCGGTGCCAAACTGTCTTATATCAAGAGGGGAAGGACGAGGAAGGGAGAGGTGGCGGGAACAATACGATGAGTAGAATGAAGGGAAGGGAAGAAGGAGGAGGGCAAACCTTGTGTTTCGAATATTTGATGATCAGATCGACGGACGGGATGCCTTTGTGGATGGCGCGTCGCCCCCCTCTCCGGGAATTGTTCCGGATTAGCCACCGACGCGTCACGCGTAGCCCCCTTCCCTCTCCTTGCGCTGCTTGCCTCACGCTGCGATCGCACTGCCACGTGGGAATAATAGACTTTCAAGCCCGGGCCGACTACGGGTTTCCTCACGTCGTTTTGTTGCTGTGCACTGTGTCCGCGCGCTGTGTCACAGCGTATCGCCTTTTGTTCCTATCTGCCTCCATCGGAAGGGTTTCATCTTTGTCACCTCTCACGATACCAGGGCCAGAGACCTATTGTTCATGCCCAACGCGTTCCGGTGTATGAGCGATGCGGTACCAAGCGAAGCAGTAAAGGAGGTGGATCGTCATCGCTCGCTTGGCAAAACTACAACGGCGGGAACGGGACGAGCGGGACGATAATAAGAGCCTGAAAGACTCAATCAGGCCTTCCTGCAGCGAGGATAGGTAACTTCTTTGACACCCTCGTCGACCGAAATATCTTCTATCAAACCGAGTCGGGTCATGTTGTCGTTAACGCGCGATTGCGATTCAGCACCGGAACAGAGATCCAGCTCTGTGCGACGAAGACGGCGGCCTCTCAGCCATCGACGAACCAGTACAGCTCTCTTTGCGCTTATCGATTGATCATTCTTGCCTCTCATCGCTGAATGTCGTGATCCTAGCTTTGAGCCCGCCGAGCCTCGTTCGGGGTGAGCTGTAAGATGGACGAGCCTGGAGACGGATTAGACTTGGTTCTACATATAGGTTCAAGATCTGCAGCGAAGGTTGGTCCAGGGTCGTACACTAAATTCCCATTGAACTGCGACAGGACGATAAGAAGCGTTCATCATCTGGTGGCTGTTGATCTATTAAGGCAATGATGTTTGTCGATCTGTCGGATCTGTCGCGAATGGCTGGTGTCCCCGTTGTAGTTTGTGGTTGTTGTTGTTGTCATGATCGTACTGTAAACGCGGATCAACGGATCCTTCGGAAGGTTTCAAACGGTCTGAAACAGTAGTGAGACAAAGACAACGATAAGCGATTACGCGATGAAGCCACCTAGCGACAGCCGACAGGAGACAGAGCGAGAGACGACACAAACAAGGAGGAATTTCTGGTTTTTCCTATTGTTGCTGTTGCTGTTGTCTCTTACCCAGAGAAGATTCGAGATTAAAGATGATGATGGGGCAACTTCTAGCTTCTGCCTTCTGGCATTTTTTGAGGACCGCATTTTCGGGTTTCGGGTATTGAATATGGATCGTATGGATCAGCGAACAAGTATAACAAGGTATCAAGGAAAAACCTTTCGCGCCTCGCCCGCTTCGTGCCAACTCTTTCGTGTCAGCACGTACACGTCCACAAACTCTCTCATACTCAACCCAACATCACCCACATCCAACCACAAAATCAATCAAGACGGTAGACCCCTCGACTATGGCCCCAATTCTTCTCGCTCCTCTCCTCGGCGCCATAGGCTTCTCGGAAATCGGACCCGTCGCCGGCTCTCTCGCCGCTGGAGCCCAAGCGGCGTTTTACGGAGGATCCGTCCCTGCAGGAAGCATGTTTGCGGGGATGCAGAGGGCTGCCATGGGAGCTCTGTCGGAGGAGCTTTACCGGTCGTCTTGGGGGTCGTCGGGATCGGAGCTGTTGTGGTGGCGGTCAAGATGTTCGCTTGAGCTGGGAGAACGGTGGGGGGTCTGAGAGGGTGCTCGTGCGTGGTAGGTATGTGATGATCTGGCTGACGTGACGGTCGGATGTGCTGATAATCGTTTGGATGGTCCTGGTAGGACACTTTGGATCCATGAGGATGTCCTCGAACGATGACCGTCTACTCGTCGTATCATCGCAAGATTCCAGTGCGGGAAGGCACACCTCGTACGACGCAGATTTTCGACCTTTGAGAGGATGTCTTTGTGGGCTGGCCGAGATGTAGCACACGAGCTCGTGACTGGTCATCTTTGGTCTTGAAGAAATCACATTGATATCTGAGCCGGGAAGGCATACAGTACCACCGAGTGTGCCCAGAGCGTATTTCCGTAAGTGGGGGTATGTACAGCTTGCAATAAGCTCGCTCGATTGCATTTCATAAAGGATCACCAGATCACTCGATCACTCATGACATTGCCAATCCTCGTAAGACGCGCCAGACGATTACAACAGCAACAGCAACACGGTTCCACTCGTTCCTGTTCTCTGGGGGTAGGTACTAGCACAGACGCACGGCCAGAGAGCCAGAGATGCCAGAGACAAATCCGTCGTCGCATCGCGCATCGCACGTTTCGCATCGGTACCGAACTAGATCACAGTCATCGTCGTCATTGCCTTCGTTGCTGTTTTGTGTCGTCTTCGTCGTCCGCCGATCGTGTTTTTGTCGCTGTCGCCCCAATCGGCTTGGCTTGCGGCTTGAAACTGTTTACCACACAAGCTGGGTGGTTGGCGGAAGGCAAGACGGGGTCTAGGGCCTAGCCTGGTGGATACAGCGACCACTGCGACGAGCGATGAGCGATGAGCGATGCTCGTCGTTGTTGCTGTTGTCTCTTTGTCGTTCAGACCAGCACATCATAGGCTTCTAGCTTCCGAGGATAATTTTTTTCGGTCTCAGGTATCGGGCAAAGAGAAGCCAGAAGCTAGACAAGATATATAATGGGAGGCCAAGACTGTTCTTGTTGGTCCATAGCCTTCGTTCCCTACTTTCTGAAAAACTCATTGCCACGTTTCCAAACATCCACAATCACAGTAACTTTACTACCAAAGCTCCCACATCGAACTCCAACCAAATAAACAACTCACGACCATGCCTATCCCCTTCCTCGCCCCCGTTCTCGGCTACTTTGGATTCTCGTCCATCGGCCCGGTCGCTGGATCCATCGCTGCTGGAGCTCAATCGGTCTTCTGGGGAGGCGCCGTACCTGCTGGAGGGTTGTTCGCTGGAGCCCAGAGCGCGACTATGGGAGGTGGAGCTGCCGCTGCTGCTGCTGCTGCGGCGGCGGCGGCCGGGGCTGCAGGAGTTGCTGAGGAGGTCGCTGGCGCTGCATCTGGGGCAGGGAGTTGCTGCTGAGATCGTACGTTTCAGATTCGGGCCCTGACGTTGGCAAAGAATTCGCTGACGATGTGTCCCCTCGGGTTCACTCTTTGTTACGCTGACCGTTCGACTGCCAGTAAGCGACTTCGCGTCGGCTTTGTAGCCTTTACGCCGGGTCCGACAAGGGAAAGGCCCGATCAGGTTCATGGTTCACGGCGAAACAAGGATGTCTTGTCATAGATGGCCACTTTTCTTACGATACTTGCTGTACTAGGATATCTCCACGTCCTTCAGGTCGAACAATACGATTGGTACAAGCAATATCATCGAAGACTCAGCTCAGCAGTCTTTGACACTATATCGAGCCCGAGATCGCGTTTCAATGGAGTGCCAGGCGAAATGGTATTCATGTTTACAAGACGTGCATCTGTCTCGATCTACTCATTCCCTGTACATTCTTCGTTGACGACCTCCCATGGTGTTCCAACTCGAAACGTCATCTTGCTCAAGCTCTCTCTCTGAAAACCTGATCGAGGGGCCTGTATTCGAACATGGCATATTTCGACTCTGCCTTTGAGAAATGTATTTGTCTTCGATCCCAGCCTCCCGTGTGACCCGATGCCTTGTTACCACATCGCTCTTGGACTCGGCTTGAGATAGGTATTCGACGGGTCAGGGTCGATGAGCGAGACTTTCCGTCGAGCCTAGCTCTGTTTTTCGTTGTCGCTGTCACTCGTTCATGTCGTTATCTAGATGGAAACAAAAAAATTCCCGAGACACTCACAAGCTGCAAAGTTGAATTAATGTGCACCTCGAACGTCAAGTATGTCATACTTGACGTCGGTGTTTCAGGTCCTCCCAGCTCGATCGATCACGTGAAATCGATCATCGAGCGGGATAGTGACCTCGCGAGAGATGATGCCTCATCAAGCTATCAGCTATCAGACGGTTGACGCAAGGCTGACTTTGTCCCTACGACGTCCAACATCAGCGATTGCTCTACGTCCGTCAAGCAATATGTCTGGACCCAACGCCGTAGCCGGTCCTAGCAAGCCGAAGGGAGCATTCGGAGGGATCGCGACCATCGGGATCCATTCCGACACGATCGACAAGAGCAATCCAAGGGGGATTCCTTATGCCCCCTTTGTGGTCAGTCCTGAGGCAACGATGCCGAGCTGATCCTCAATGGATTCATGTACTGATCTTTGTTCTTTGTTTGTCTTGATCTAGACCAACGTGGACGACTTTGTAGGCGGTCAAGATGCTGGAGTCGAAGGCATCATGGGGTCTTTCAAGGAGATGACGTCGTGAGTTCACGTCCGCATTTACTACAGCAACAAGACGCCTCAGATTATTCACTTCGCTACTTGTCTTGTCGTGGTCATGTTAGCAAATACCAATACATGGAGGTCAGCTTGCAAACCCGCCGAAAGGGGATCGAGAGCAAGATCCCTGATATCGCCGAGACGTTGAAGGTGGTCAAGTTTTTGGAAGCTAGACGAGTGGGTCCTACCCTTATCACGAAGATGATCATCTCTCACGGGAACATACTAACCAGCTTCCCACATCTTCATAGTGCAAAAGTCTGGGAACACAACCTACGGTCGTCCCGAAGGACTCGGACGAATCAGACGAAGAGCAGGACGACGAGGATGCACTTTCAGACGAACCGGAATCCGAGGACGAAGATGATCTCCTCGCAGAAGCCAACGAGCTGGAAGCTTCGGACGAACAACTCGAGAGCGGCAAGGTCCCCGGGCAAAAGGCTTTGAAGACGCTCTACGAGTTGAACGATACGTTGTTTGCCGAGGCCGAGGTCGAGGAGAATGGGCAGGTCGGGTTGTGGTTGGGTGTGAGTCGGACTTCTTATTTTGGGTCCTTATAACGGTCGTGGACTTTCACTGGCATCTGTCGAGCTTGAGACTGATACGTTATCGTTTGCGTTTGGTGGGGTCGTTGTAGGCCAACACGATGCTCATGTACCCGCTCAGAGAAGCCGTCGTCCTCCTCTCTGAGAAACTTTCGACGGCGAAGAAGAACCTGAATAATATCAAAGAGGACTTGGAGTTTTTGCGAGAACAGGTGACTGTCATGGAGGTCAACTTTGCTAGGGTACATAACGTGAGTCTCAAGGATGTCTCCGTGATCCTTTTGGAGTCGTTGTTTGGATATGGGGTTGGGAATGCTGACCAGATGAGATTGATGGATGGTATGGGATCTGGATGTAGTGGGACGTCAAACGGTAAGCCTGAGCATTCTGATGATTAGGCAAGTGGGGCGACGGCTGATGAAATGGTTTTGGTATTGCAGACGACGACTACAAAAAGAGGGAGATCAGGGGAAGAAGGGGGAACACGTCAAGTCGCTCAAGGACCAAGATTAGACGAGACGAGTGGGAGAGCGAGGAGCAGAGCACTAGCAGAAGATGTGGTAGTGCACTATGCTGGCGGAACGGTATTACCGGAAAAGCATACATCAGAAGGCTGTGTATACGGTAACCAAATTTGTCATATGTGAATCATCGCATTGTACGCAACGATCAATTACTGGCTCATCGATGAGAAACTGAGCTGCATTGGGAATACGGCTATGGCTACACCATCCTCAAATGACAGCATATCGACAGCTGGATGTTTAAGCCAGGGTTTTGTGCATGTACCTCCCCTTGTTCTTACAGACCATAACGATGATACATGAGAGGACTACAGTACAGACTGACACACGGAGAGGTAGATGACTCCTCAATGTCGTTTGCATTCGACGAAGAAAGGTAAAGATACACGGCCCAAAGCAGGACTATCTTTTCGTCCACATCTACCCACTCTCAGCATCAAGATGCATCAGATCCTCGGGGAAATTCTTCCCGGATTCCATCCTGGGGCCAAAGGTTCAAACCGCCAGGAACGTCACCTCCAGTCTGCACGACGCCCTTGTCACGACCGGGAGCGCGATTGCCATCACTGGGTATCGCCTCCTCTTCCTTGTGCGGTTCCAGTTTGGGTAGGCGGGAAGCCCGCATGGCTGCAACGTCTGGATCTTTTTCTCGTCCGTACCAATATCCTCCTGTTTGGAGATTCCACTGGCCTTCCTGGACAACTGGCGTGTAAGCAGAATTGGCCGTAAGACCCGAAGCAGAGCTGCTCTGGGTAGAGCCGGTCGAACTGGCCGAATCAAGGTTGGTCGAGCCGGTAGAGCTGACCGAAGATTCAGGCTGATGATTTGATGACATGGTTGATGAGTATCAAGGGTGATGTGTATGAAGGTAATGTGTGTGGGAAGAATGCAGGTTGAGTGATCTGTAGATCTGGGCAGAGAGATAGCTCAGTCGGCCAGGTCTAGCTCATATATACCCTGCAGACCCACTCAATTCACTCTGGGACTCGGAAAGTCGCATGTGAAGAAAGGAGCCCGCTAGCTCCTTCGTACTGCTGCTGCTCGCAGCCTGCTTATTCACATGGATCGATCACTCATGATGCGGTATGCCTTTGAAAGGCGCATTTCCGCATGGAACAGGAAAACACCTCCAGCGACGCGTCTACCCGCTGGTTGAAAAGCTTGACAGGGCGATGGTTCAGTCGCATGTGATGGTAGGAGATATACGGTGATGTGCTGAAGCCCCCAAGAGCTAATGAGGATCCCTTGAAATAATCTCACTTTGCTTAGCAATACCAAAACGATCAGCTGACATATCAGACCTTTGCTTCTCAACACAGCCACTTTAGAATGCCCCCTTTGTCGGTCTCGCACGTCATAGTTGTTATCAAGGAAGTCATGAAATGCACGAGGTTTCGCTTGCATTATCAAAAGTCACACCTTTGTTACTGAGATAATCTGCTGATTCGATCTTTAGACAATATGCAGATGATCAACTCTGCGTTGATCGTGACCCGTCTGATCGATGAATGTATCCAATCGTTTTTTGCGTTTCGATTGGCGCAGCGCGATTCTAAGCCACGCAAGCCGCCGACAATGAACGAGACTTCTCACTGACTGACGGGTTCAGGCCTGTGACGTTACAAACAGCCTCTTCGACAGTCATAGCCGGTGCAAGCCTTTATCGAAACCCAATCATATCGATTGCCTCTACCAGAGTTGCTCATCTCAGATTCCCCACCTGCAGCCAGAAGACAGGGCGGGGCCTTAAACCGATCCCTTCTTGGCCTCTTGCCATAGACCACCATAGCTTATTTTGATCACGCCTTCCTACGATGTAGAACTCTGTCTGGCAGACACGATTGTCATAGGCTGTACGCTCTTGGCAATAGTTGTCTGCGATAGCACCGATGTCATGGGCGATAAGAAGCGAAAGCCCGACCTCGTCTTCAGACTATCATCATGATCGAAGACTGGATCGGGTTGAGTGATTTGCGCTCTCTCGAGGTACGAGCTGTGACCCTGTCAACTACCACCGTAATACGACTTCCGATCGAGCGGGAGATACCACTCCGGACCGGCTTGATGGAATGACGCTAAGCGCGGCGGTGGTACTTCTGGGTCATGAACCCTTCCTACTGGCTTCCGCGGTGCGCAACTTGTGTTTGCAAACCAAAAACAAGCCGAAACTCGAGAACCCCGGTCGGGCTCTCTTCACATCTATTTCAAGATTATTCAGTTTCGTGCCACGGTCCGATTGTCTGCTTCATTCATGTGATGTGGAGGTTGTAGTTACGCAACGAAGTCAGATTCGAAAATGTTAGCGTTTCGTCATACGCGGCGCGGATAACCTTCGCGGATATCGTCGAGTCGAGAAAGGACCGATCCGCGGACGATGGACCAGAGCAGAATCGCTTTTCAACGTCAGTCATCCCTCACCAACGACGGCCGCATTCTCAATCTCACATCATTATGAACAAGCTGTGCAACAAGGCACCGTCGGCCGCCCTTCGGTAGAACTGTACCACTGTAGGACCACAATGAAATAATTCGAAAACGGAATCTTACTTTATTGCTCTCCGCACCGAACTTTAGCGCGACATTTGTTCCGGAGAGGTGCCTTGCGCCGTTTCATATCTATCCGTGGATAGGGGTAACGGAAGGAGATTCGACACGGAGTCCCGTGTAAAGAGAGGTAGCAGCGTGCGACCCATAACATCAGGACCAGAAACTTGAATCGGTTGAGTATATATGCGTCATTGACATTTCTCTCTTCGCCAACCGAATACTGACTCAGGTGAAAGACCTCTATTGAACAACCCAAACTGCGCTAACCTTCTATACCATGTCGTCATTCAAATCCTCCATCTGCTCCACTCGATTGGCTCCCTCGGACCACAAACACTCCAACGCCTCTCCCATCTCGATGAAGGAGTTTCAGATCGTCAAGCCATTGTCTCCCCCCGCATCGGTCAAGGTCAGCTCGGTGGCGTCGGACGACGGAAGCGAGGTCGTCGACACTCGCGTGGGACCCATCGAGGACTGGGAAGGTGGTTACAAATTTGCGCCCATCAAGGTCAGTCAAGTCAACGTTTCAGTATCGGTATCGATCTTATGTTCAATCGTTCACAGGAGCACCACGTCGCCCGGGCCATGACCAAGCGATACGGTGATGACCTGTATCGAACAGCCATCTCCGACATTGTCATTGTTGGATGCGGCTCCGCCGGTCTCAGCTGTGCATACCAGCTCGCCAAAGAGCGACCTGACTTGAAGATCGCCATCTTGGAAGCGGGAGTTGCTCCGGGAGGTACGAGCGCGTTGTCGCTGTTTCGCTTGCGCCATTTCCAGTTCGCTGACAGCTACTCGAGCTTTAAGGTGGCGCTTGGCTTGGTGGACAGCTCATGTCTGCAATGGTTGTTCGAAAGCCGGCCGACAACTTTTTGCGTGAGCTGGAGGTCCCGTTCGAGGACGAGGGCGATTACGTGAGCCGTCTTGATCGGGTGTCAGTAAATGGTATTTGGATGCTAATTGCCTTCATAGAAAGGTTGTGGTTAAGCATGCTGCCTTGTTCACTTCGACCATCCTGAGCAAGGTATTGAAGGTAAGATTTGTCGTGTGGTTCTTCGATATTCCCTTGAATAAATGAAATCTCTCTGTTGTCTGACAGTTCCCCAATGTCAAACGTAAGTCAATCAAAATCGAGGAACACCTCTGATTTCGCTTCGACGCCGTGCTTACGTTTCCATAAACTAGTCTACAACGCCACGGCCGTTGAAGATCTGATTACCGTCAAGGACCCTCTCAATGGCTCGAACTTGCGTGTAGCGGGAGTCGTCAGCAACTGGCAAGCCTGCGATGGTCTCATTCCCTACAGAAGGGAAGTTGATCGCTGACAGTATGTGATGGTTTCTCCGACAGGACTCTGGTCACCCTAGCCCACGGTCTTCAGAGCTGCATGGATCCTCAGACGATCACCGCTCCGATCGTAGCGTCGTTTGCGGGACACGAGTAAGTCCAGGATCGAGTCCGATCGAAGATGAAATCCTCGACTAAAGCAGCCTGTATCTAACTCGGATCGCTGTCTATGATAGTGGCCCTTTCGGAGCTTTCTCTGTGAAGCGACTTGCCGCCATGGGCATGGTCAAAGAACTCGGAGATATGCGAGGGGTGAGTCCAGCAGACGTCTCAGGTGGCCGTACCAAGCAACAGAGTTGCTCACTTCCGTGACCTCACCATAGCTCAACATGCGCTGCGCGGAAGACTATATCGTGTAAGTGGAAAGAGCGAAGAATGACTGCTAGATAGCGCACATACAACTGATACAGGATATCGTCCTCAGTAACGCGACTAGGGAGATCGTTCCAGGGCTGATCACCGGGGGGATGGAATTGTCTGGTAAGCTCCCAGGTACCGACCGACACTGCGACCGCTCGAGCTCATCCGACCTTATGCTCAAGAACTCGACGGTGCCAACCGTATGGGAGCCACTTTCGGCGGGATGCTCGCGAGCGGAGTCAAGGTATGTTCAACTAGGCTGCTAAAGTTATCCGCAGATTGCTGACAAGGTATTGTTACGTAGGCTGCAAAGGAGGCCATCAAATTGTTCGATTCTTACGATATCGTCGAAGGGGAAGTCGTGGGGCTCAAGCAGGCCGCCTAGATCAGACTTTTCGGGGTTTGGAAAATGACATGTCCCGACGGACAGGATCGAGACATGGACGTGTAAGAATCTGCAAGACTGTAAGAAATTATGAATACCAGACGAAAGTATCGACTATTGGCTACATTTCCGGATGTCCCACGTACAAGGCCACGTTAACGCACATCAGATGGCTCCTGGCAACATCCTCATAATATGAGTCCGCACAACCTGGCGAATATACGCATGATCCAGCTGCGAAGGTAATTTGTAAGGTTTTCAAAATATGCGTCTGTACAGCTTTTGAGTTCGGAGCTAATCTTACTGGTATCGCGCTCCCGTCGTCCAAAGCTTCCCGTCCCAGCTCGCCTACGTGTTTCATCCATTCCTCCGGTTTGTGTTGACGATCGTTCCACTGTTTGAAGGCACATGACCCCATGTGAGCCCAATAGCCAATGGAGGCCAGAGATGAGTCAGACTTACTACAGCCACATGCCGATGACCTAAAGCTTCAGCGATGATCTGGTAATCCCGAAGGAACGCTGCGAAAACAAAGATTGAAGCCGTTAGAACTGGGTGTATGGGTCAAGTTAGAATTGCCACTGTGCCGTACTATTCGGAGGGAAGATCTGAAAGCCAAGAATCAGCCTTTAATCCAGGCAGTTTACTCGTCAAGAACTCCTTACCTCGATCACGACTCCGCCAGGTGACATCCATAGGGTGTGAGCTACGCGGAGAGCCAGTAGTAGGATATGAGTATCGACAGTAACCCTTGATTTGACGATGATTGAAAACGCACTTAGGGGACTACCATGTATACCCAGGACGATCTGTGATCAAAGCGAGATGCAGAATTTAGCTCGAGGACCTGCTTAGTAAGTTGCCGTGGGAACGCTACTCACATCGGCATCTAATACGCTTCGGACCTGGTCTTCCGCCGAGACCACCTCGGGATCGACGACCTCGACGGAGACCTTCTGCCCAAACCTCCCCCGAGATTGTTTCTCCAACGACCCCAAGAGCTCCACCAAGAATTCGTGATCCTCCTTCACCAGCTTTCTGTTACTATTACTGCCCTGCTGGGAGAAGTAGACGATCTTGACTTGTTTCCCATTGAACGACTTGTTACGTTTCTTACGCAGCGTAGGGATATGCAGTTCCGGGCCTTGTAAGAGGTGTCGGATCAACCGTGTACGGGGACGAGCGAAAAAGGCAGCGGGGTTGGTAGCCCCTACCGGCGTCTGGAGAGCGGAGAGGGCCGGTTGGTTCCAGAGGAAGGGGTCTGAGGAGTGGTTGTGCGTGGCTGCTTTGCGATCGACGATGACGACTGCGAGTGAATACGCGACGAAATGGGAAGATGAGAGATCGTTCAGTTGGTGAACTCGAGGTCTGAAGGGAGGCTAGTGTGACTTACCCTTTTCGAGCAAGACCCAAGGAGCTTCTCGTGCGGTGAACTGCTGCCAATGTTCCTGCTCAACGACATCTACAATAACGAATCATACCATCGTAGTGTATCAGCCCCATATCCTTTTCTTGCCGCCGAACATATCCGGATCAAATTCCAAGATCGCTTGTACTTACCACAAGCCAACCCGTACCTGACGATCATCTCATTCAGCTTCGACGCCAGACCGGCTTCGTCCCCCCATCCACCTCCACCTCCACCCAGATCTCGGCCGGGGAAGATGACCCGACTGATATCTTCTTGTTTGCCCATGATCACCGCATCGGCCTCGGACCGGGTGAGGCTAGACATTCCGGCTCGATAGCCGGCGAAGATGAGTTCTGCGGCGAAATGACTGTCAAGGGGTCAAACGTGAAAGTGGGAGGAAGACGGATGGGAAGTTAAAAGTCGGTTAGTGGTTAATCGAGGAGGGTGGAGATGTTGGGGGAATGCAGGACGGAACAGTTGACGTACCGATAGCCTTCAAGGGTTGTAGACGAAGTATGAGGATCAGGCTCGTCGGCTAAGTATAGCTACGAGGACAGAGACCGAAGATGAATCAGGATCGAGTGGGAGGAAACGACGGTTTCAAGGTTTCGAGGTTTCGAGGGGCGGGCAGTTCAAAGGGGTCTAGTTTGGAGGCTTACCGACATTCCGCTGAGGTGCTGGACCCGAAGTTCAAGCTCTATCCATTTCAAGGATGACGACGTACGTAAGCTCCCATCTTTCAACCTTCTAGGTTCATTCAGAGACGTTCAGGTCCGTCTTTTATAGACTGACTTTCTCCAACTTCCTCGCACGCTTCCGGATAAGTCCTGCACGTCCCTCTTAACAAGTTATCGGCTTGGGCGCGGGATAAGATCTTCAATTTGGAATGTTTTCGATCACTCGATTGGGATATGATCAGGTTAGGGTCTATTGTTGATAGGTCGTCGGTTATGATATCTGCGTAGGCAAGGGTGTGTGAGTGTTCAGAGATTATTGTACTATGTGAGTGTGCAGTTGAGAGGAGAAATGTGAGTGAGAGGTGGAAGAAGGGCTGGAACCTACATAATTTGTCGTCGTGAGCCAAGACGTTTTCGAGGACGTTGTACCCGTCTATCCGTCTGACCAGTTTAGACGCGGGGAACGATGAAACCTGATTCCATTTGTTCTTCAGCTAGCATTCCACAAAGAATGACACCCCCGCAGGTCTGGGCTTGTGGGGCTTACACTGATCAGCCTGTCCGAAGAAAGCGGTAGATGAGATGAAGGTCCGTCCGTTCTCGACCAGAGGAAGAGGACGAGCAGGAGACAGAGTGCGCCGGCTAGGGCTGCTCGTTTTGGGCCCAGGGTGGACCTGTTGATGAGCATTGGCATGACGAGCGTGTTGGTATCTCGTATTCAGGATGTAGTTTCGTATATGCCTCCTTTTGGAAGGAGTTGCGTGTTGCGTGTTGTTTGTTATGAAATGCGACATCGAGATCGTCAATCGTCATCGGGGAACTGCGTCGTCGGCCTTTGTCAAAGTAATGATGTCACGTGACACGGCATATATACAAGCAAGTAGTCAGTTCATACTCATGTATCGTATCCCGAGGTTGTAGATATGGCTACGACGCACAGCAGGAGAAGGAACCAATGGATATCCACAGTATTGGGGATGCGCTGGAACATCGTTGTCAGAAAAGCCAGTGAGCCGACGAGGGGGAGCGAGCGCATCTCAGTCACCCAGCGTCTAGCTGGGATTTGCCACCATATATCAACAATTTCTGCTCAATAACATTGACATCGGTGTCATAGACTTCATCTTATTGTCTTGATCGAGAACAACCTCTTTAGCCACGTGTCAAGTTGATGGGTTGAGAAGTGGACGACATCTCATAGCTAATTCGCGTTTTCTCGGACATAATCGACCTCGTAACATCACAGTATGTGATTGCTCCGCCTTACGTTCGTCATCTATCGTGAGTCTAACAAGTTCCGCTATCTGCGTGAGACTGCAACGATCGGAACCATGGCACTGTTTCAAAGTGTAGATGATCGAGATTATTGAATAGGAGCACAACCTAGATGTACGTATAGATGATTTGACAAAAGTCGAAGTAGCCTGAACCTGAAGGCACTACTATAATACATTTCCTAAATTTGCACAATGACCAGCGCACGTTCCGACAATGCTGGCGCCGGATTTCACGGAAAGACGAGACTCAGCACACCCTCGCCGTCTTTTCGACGTGAACCGGGAGGTCCTTGTCTTCACCCATCTCGACGGCACGAGCGGCGGCCTTGGCTTCGGTGGTGTCAAAGACGTCGAGGTCGGTCGAAGCGAATCGCCTGGCAGAGACGCGGTGTTCGAACAAGAGGTCTGTGCATGAGGTGGAATGATAGTCAGCTCGATTGTCCATGGGCAGTGAGAGTGAGATGACAGCCGTGTGACTCACCCAACTCGGCAAACGATCGTCCCTTGGTCTCCGGGATCCGGAAGAACGTGTAGACAATGCAACAGAAACAGATCCCAGCCCAGAAGAACGCGGTGAGTTGTTGCCAGTTCCAAGCGGTCGGGTTGACCATGTAAGGAGTCAAGACGCTGCAGACGATCCCGACGACGTTGTACGCGTTTCGGCCGAGGGCGATCGTCTTGACGAGGAGTTGTCGGGAGGGGATCTCACCGACGATCGAGTAGCAGATCGTACCGACGGTGAGTTGGTAGACGGTCGCCCAGCCGAGCATCATCCCCCCCGTAGCCAACGCGGCGGCCTCGGGGTGCTTGTCACGGACAAAGTACATGCAGCCCATGATACAGAGCATGACGCAGAGTCCGCATTGACCGTAGAGGTAGAGCGATCTTCGACCGAATCCCCAAGACATCAAGGCCCAGGCTCCAAAGACGCCGACACAGTTGATTCCGTATTGACCGAGGACGAACGAGAGGGCGGAGGAGGCGGGCAGTCCTCCTTGTTGAAGGAAATAGTTGCTGTACCCGGTAAACGAGTTTCCGGCTAGGTTTTGGATCGCCCAGACCATGCAGACGATTTCGGTTCGACGACGGTTGATACCGGTGAAACATTGCTTGTAGGACGAGCCGGTGGTCATCTGAGCCTCCATGGCGGTGGTGTGGGCCATCATCTGCAGGATCGCGTCGTGAAGATCAGCACGAAGCGGTAAAAGAGGGCGCTCGATGTGCGCCAGGGACTCACGGCCAAGGTCTCATCGGCATCGAACCCGGTCTCACGGTTCAGACTGGTCAAGCGGAGCAAGTTTTTCCTAGCGTCCTCCATTCGACCCTTTCGGACCAACAACCAGGGAGACTCGGGAGCCAACGCCACACCGGTGATCAGGAAGGGGAGCCACATCCACTGCAAAGCCCAGGGGAGACGGTAGGCCCACTCGGTCTTGTTGTTGAGTTGCGATTTGATGACCCCGACTCCGATGACTTGACCGATACCCCAGCAGAAGTTGCTGCGGACGCGCGAGTGTGATTGATCAGGCGTCAGCTGGGAGTATTCGTCTCATATGAGTGGGTTAAGCGAGCACTCACACGTAGGTGGTCAGGTAACCTCGCAAAGCGATAGGGCAGACCTCGGAAGCATAGGTGATCGTCAAAGTCTGCCAGATACCCCAAGGAATACCAGCGATCAAGTAGTAGAACAAGAGCTGGATCAAAGACCCGCTCGTGGCGAACACCGGGATGAAGATCAAGCCGATCATCGAGATGAGACAGGCGAGCATGGTGTTCTTGTATCCGAATCGTTCGGCGACGAGACCGTTGATGAAGAGACCGATGATCTCGCCACAGTTGGCGGCCTGCGTGGAGCGTCGGAGGAAATAGGGGTTATTCGGGTTAGCCTCTCGGGACGAAGGCTTGGAGAGGAATGACCTCGAGACTCACGTTACTCAGACCGGCTTGCCATCGTGCTGGGACTTGGTACGTCCCATCCGGACCCAGCTCACCAAACTTTTCGTTGAATTGAGGGAATCCGTCTAAAAGGTCGTGCGTCGAAATCAATCGAGGATCAGCGTTCAACTCGACTCGTTGATCACGCCGCGACTCGCGCGACTCACAAAAGTTGCCCAACAGACACAGATCGTAACCCTCCATTGCGATACATGTCGAGATGACGATACTCCATCCGATAGCTTTAGGGTATAGGCGGATACCCTGCATCAGCGTCATCGACTGTTCCTTGTCGGTGGCGAGTTTGGCATCCTGGGCGAACGAGTTGCTAGGCTCATCGTACTGTTTCTTGCTGTTGCTTTGCTCGAGAGTGGGAGATTCCATCGCGGCAGAATCCTGATTGAGGTGGTGATCACTGATGTGTCCGAGGTAGATGAGGTGTTCAGGTACTAATTATGGTCTGAGTTGTGATGTCCGAGACGAGGTCGAGGGATGCATAGGGGTAAACGTCTGCGATGACGATGATGATATATACAGGATTGTTTTCCCTCTCTTTTCGGCGAGGCGGGCCGAATGCGCTGTCCGCTGAGTGCGCTTCCGCTCCGTCCAATTGAAAAAAAGCAAAGAGGAATCACGGAGGCAAGTCTGAGATGCTGACGACCTGGTTGGCACGACCGAAGTTGAACGATATTCGAACGACATCAGCTGACGACCGGCTACATCACACACATACTCAACAATGACCCAGCGGGCACTAGGGAAGCAATCTCTGGTAACCGGACCGCATCTATGGCCATCAGGCCATGAGATGGTATGTGTCCAAGGGCGTCGGGGGGATAAAAACCGCCCGAATGACGGAGACCCCACACGAGACGACCTGTTCTGACCATCATCTCGGCTGATTTTTGCTTCGGAAAGCCCTGGCCCGAGGAATTGGATCCTCGTTTTGATCAGTAGTTGATGGGAATAACCTCGCGGCAGCGGCAGATTGCACTCGTCACCGAAGACAAGGCGAAAGAACCTTGCGAGGAGGGCGTTATCTTGAGAGTTTGGCGCCCCGACCTCGAGCTGGATGCCCCACGCTCAAGTCACGAACCGCCCAGAAACTGCCCGATGTTCCAGGTCCTTCAACAGAAGATAGCGTTGCCCGAGCATAACCGCACTGGATCATCCGTAGGTACGGTCTCGAGACGGACACTGCACATGAACATGGGAGCGAGGATCGAGACTGCGCCGTGCGAAGAGATTCGACAGGACACGAACCCTGATCCCAGACATGTCGGCGGCGCCAATAATCACCGATCTGGTAAAGCGTCGAACCAATGCGGGCGGACAGAAGTCGAGCGCCCATTCAAGGTCGTCCAGAATCTCCATCTGTTAAGACATGGCCGTGTGGTTCCCGTAACTTTGGACGGAGAGTCGATGACCACTGCATTCTCGCGAGAGTCCGAGCGACACATGTATTGACTCCCAAGCCAGGTTTGCGTTTTACAGCGGCTTTCAAGTCTTTCAGAGGACTCGGGTGAGATATGTCTTGCTAGCGTTGTCGGAGGCAGTGATGCGGCAACAAGATCATCACCGAACACTTGTAGCTGGCGGTGACGATTAAGGTGTTTGGTGGGATTGCAGTGACATGCTATAGCGTTCCAAGGACCCCGTATTTGCCACAGAGGCGATGGACGGAAAGTGGTATCATGTATATGGTATCGTGTATGCATGCATGGAGTATATGAATGTGGTACGCAGTACCGAAAGCTCTCGAAACAAGCCCCTTCCCTCTCACTTATTGCAAGCGCCGCTCGACGTTCCTCCTCCCGTTGACCCAATCCGTCTCGTTGAGCGTCATCTCGGGCGTCCCAAAGACGGCGCTGTCGACGGCTTCTACGCCGAGCATGAACTGCCGGGTCGAAAATCGAGTGCGGGTGAGCGTGTGTTCCCCCTTTGTATGGCAAGAAAGAGGCGGGAACTTACAGAGTGGTCCTGGTTCCCGGCTTCGTATTTCCAGCTCCCGAATCGGCTGCAAACACCAAGGAAAGTCGACGATCAGAATTGAGCCACAGGCGAGACGAAATCCGACCCGATCGCTCACCCTCGAGACCAAATATCGAAATCATCCTTCAAGACCGGCAAGATCCGACCAAGTGCGGCGTCTCGTCCGAGCGACGGCGTGGGGCTACCAGATAAAAAGGCCTTTGATCAGCCCGACCCGGCTTTATAGCGCCTCGAGATTGAAACCGGACTCGGACTCACTATCCATGCTCGAACCGCCTGACATAGGTCGACACGATCTCATCCTCCGGTCTCAAAAGGTCCGTAGCCAGAGCACCGAGGATGGTCTCTTCCAAGATGGTGTCCATATTTTGTGGCCTCTGTGCCGATTGACAGACTTCGAGCATCAAGCTCCAATAAGGACCCGAAGAGGGTTCGGTGGAGGCCGGGGCGGACCCGTTGGCCAGACGGAGGGTCGGGAGGCTCTTTTCCTCGGCAGGGCAGTTGTGAGGGGAATAGTTGGAAAAGATCGTCGCTCGGTAAAACGGGGTGTTGTCTTCAGGGAAGTAGAGCCAACACTTGTCGCCTATCCGTTCGGGACGTTGCCCCCGCATGCCTAGTCCGATGACGATGGTGTTGCTATAAACCAACTCTTGCGTGGCCTGCTTGACCAGCTTGAGCTTTTCCTTGTCCGCCTCCGAAGAGACCTGGACGATATCGACGAAATGATCGACGTTCATCGTCGAGACCAACTTGTCGTACGCGATCGTCTCCCCGTTGCCCATCTTGGCGAGCTTGTGGACCGGGTCCACCGAGACCACCCGGCCGACCTGGATCTTTTCTCGGGGGATCATCTCGGCCACGGCTTTCCAGATCCCACCGGTACCACCTCGAGCGGGGAATCGGAAAGTCGCGTTAGGACCCCAGTTCCCAGCGGGGGTCCGGGTGATGGCGTTCTTGATGACCACCTTGAGGTTCGGGGCGGCCACTCGTTCGCCCAGCCATTTACATTGCATCTGTCGCACGTCGCCCCGTACAGAACTCATCAGCTCACCCCGCCTCACCTCGACTTTGTCCTCCGACTCGCGACTCACCTCACTAGTCCTAACCCCCCAAACCTTGAAATTATACGGATGCATAAACATCTCCCCTATCCCTTTCCCCAAGTTCCGGTCGATCCACTGTTCAAACGTCACCGGTTTCACCGTCGGGGTGGCCGCTCTCAGTTCGGCGGCTTCCAAGAGTCCGTCCAGGGCGACGAGTTGTTCGGATTGAGGGAGTTGGGAGATGTTGTTTTGGTAGGGGTCTGTCGGGGGATTAATATATCGTCATTCCGGATCGATTTGTTAAGCATCAGTCGATGAGAGGATCCGATCAGCACATGGTCGTATCCACATCAACCCCAACCCCTATCCCAAGTCCATTCAAGCAAAAAGACACGACGACTCACAAGGAACCCAAGCGCTCCCACTCCGAATATAAGACACCCGTTGATGCTCGTACCAATCGTCTTCTTTCGGGAGGGCCTTGTTGATGGTATCGTCAAAGTAGGCGTAGTGGCTGAGATTCCGAATTGTGGTCGTGGTCGTGGTCGTGGTTATGTTGTGGGTTGAATATTTGACGTGGGGAGATATGTCGAGGTGGAGTTTAATGGCAAAGATTGAGATATCGACGAGGAACGAGGAACGAGGAAATTGAACGTCGTTGATCGAGGATCAACAGTAGTATAGTAGTATGTAGAACCGAGAACGCAAGAACCGAAAGAATGTAAAAATCAGCCTAAACCCCCCTCCCCCTTGACTATAAAAAAGGAAAGAAGAAACTCGAGACTGACCTAAAGATCACATGCCCCCCATAATCGAACAAGAACCCTTCGCTCGTCTCATCCGTCCCGGCCAACCCGCCCGCTACGTCTTCCTGTCCTACTACCAGGTAAGATTGCGGGAGTTGGAGTTGTTCTAGACGGGTCGCTGCGCCTAGGCCGGTCTGAAAAAATGAAAAGAGTTGGTTTGAGGGAGATGTCGATTGAGCACAAGTATCACAAGCGGGTTATAAGAATGAGGATGGGGGATGGTGATCAGAGGCTCGACTTACTGGACCGGTACCGATGACGAGGACTTGGACGTGACGGTCGGGCATCTTCGTTCTTGTTAATTGTTGATTGTTATCGTCCAGGTATATCAGGTGAATGAGGCTGGCTCTGGATAGGCGATCCGACGACAAGACAACAACTCAATCGATGCGAACTTGAACCTGAACCGTTGAGTCGAATGGGTCGTTGCTGGGTTTGATTTTGATCTCTAGATCGGGGGTGAAAGTGTGTGTATCCGCGGTGTAGATCGACCAATTCCTCCTTCCCAGAAGCAAAATAGACGAAGCGGGAGAAACCCTAAATCGCAAAATCACACCCTCGGTCGTCGCTGTAGCTGTAACCCTCGGTCGTTCGGCGCCATCCCTCCGCTCGGCGTTCTCGCTCTTTCTCTCCTTCTCGCCCGCCACGACGCTTCGCGCCACGCTACGCTCCCGTTGTCGGTCGTGCCTTTCTCACACCGCATGGTACCGGCGGCACAGCGGGACACACAGCTTTTTTCTCCGAACCTGATTCATGTTCCCATGACGATGGCTTTGTCGCCTGCTGGGCGCGAGGGTGGAAGCAGAGCGAATGGAAGACGAGGAATTGGCCGATGGGCGCATGCGCCAAGGGGGGAGGCAGTTGGATCAAAATATCCATCGACTTCAACGCGATATGGACGAAATCATCTGCTGCGAGAACGAAACCGGACCGACCTAATGAAATACCATCGTAGGATCGTAGGACCATATCCATATATCCACGTACATCGTTCGTCGTACCGTCGTTCATCCTGCTCAGCTCCTCTAGAAACTCAGGAACGTCTCACTCGAGAGCTCGATACAGCATTCGACATTATTATTCAGTCGACATCTTATCAGTCGTTGATCGCCTAATTCGCCTGACGTTTGGCGTCTAGCGTCGACCATAGCCATACACGATACGATACTGTACGATGTCCACCCCGGATCCGCCAAGACTTACATCTACAACTACACCACCAGCGCCGACGAGGTTCACAGCGAGCCTGGACAAGCTCTCTTCCACTTCCACTTCCAGCACCAAGAACTCCTTCTATTCGAGATCAAGCTTGACATCTAAATTACCTCTAAAGGGAGGTATCGATTACGATATCGCTATCCCCTTCAAAGACCTCCCCCTGAAATCCCTGCACTCCCTCCTCTCCTCCCTGGTAACAAGAACACTTCCCTCGGCACTCTCCTTGTTCCTGGTTATCTACCTGTCGTCACCCCATACGAGGACGGATGGATTGAGGGGGTATGTACCGGTGGGGATCGTGGTAGGGAGGGTTGTCGGGGATGTTGGGAGGAGACGATTGGGGTTAGCTGGGTTGGGTGGGGGTTATGGGTATGCTACGGAGGAAGGGGAAGAAGCGAATACGAATACGAAGTCCAAAGGGGGTAGATTGAATTCCTCCTCGGGGGGAGGGGACGATGAGGAGAAACAGAGTGGGAATTTCAAAGTCGATGTCAATCTCGATGTTACCTCGGCATCCGCATCTACATCATCGACTTCAACATCATCACCTTCTTCCCCTTCTTCCCCTTCTTCACCAAAAACAACGACGACGACCACAACCACTCGCTTCAGAGGACGAAAAGCAGAGATCCTCTCCGGAGCCCTTGAAGCTGCCCTCGCATTAGGGTTGAGTTTGGCAGTCAGTGGGAATGGGAGTGGGAGTGGGAGTCGGGGGAATACAGGGTTGGGGTTGGGTTTGTTGGTGAGTCGTTTGGGGGACCTTTGTTGTTTGGCCGTCGTTTGGCGGTCGTTTGGTGGTTGTATGGCGGTCGTCGTCTTGTTTGTGGAGAGGGGACGAGCACGATGAGCCGCGACGGAGCACGATGAGGGGTGGTCGTCATGATATACGAGCGGGCAGGGGCAGGGGGCTGATTATGAAAGTTTTTTTTCGCATTTCCGTCACACCATCACTACTGCCGTTTAAATCGCTATGGCTATCGCGACCGAATGACGATCGACCCTTGACTGACACCAAAACTCATCAACATAACCGCCACGATCACGATCACGATCACGATCACGCCCCCGATCGGCCCAATAGTCCCTGATCGGCACCCCCCGCCCTAACAACCTCAACCTCAACCCCACACTCCTCCTCGTCTCATTGATTACCACCTACACTTCGTACACCTTGTACGGCGGCGCAAATGGGTCCGAGTGGACGACTGTCATTGGAGCGTTAGGGGTTGTGGTGTTGGATGCGGGGAGACGGTGGGCGGGTTTAGGGGCGGCGAGGGGTAATCTGGGCGTTGGGGTGAGTCTCTGATCGAGTTGTCCAAGGGGAAGATGATCGGTGAGAAGGGTAGGCTGATTGCGATTTCTTTTCGGAACACCGACGAATCGGTACCTCGGATCCTCGATCGGTATGACGTAGACGGCCATCGCCCTAACAACCTTCGGGACCATCCTCATCCACCCTCTCAACGCCCCGACCTTGGCAGCCGTCTTTGTGCTCTTCTTCGTCATCCTCGTCTTTGCCCTCAACCCGCCCAAGCTCGTCTCCAGCCCCGGTCCGAAGCAAAAGACGGTATACAGGGAACTGGCGGTGTGTACGGGGTTGTTGGGGGTCTTGCAGGAGGCTAGAGGGGGGATGTGGGTCTTGGCAGGGATGTTCGCGTTAGGGTGGGTGGTCGCCAGGCAGGACTCTCAACAAACACAACAACAACAGCAATTGTTGGGGGAGCAGCAGAACCGCGATCAAGATCAGCATGACGACGGTGCCTCTTCAGCGAAACGTTCTCGATGGGCAAGGTCGGTCGCCGGGATGGTCGCTTTCGTGGCCGTCATGATCAGCCTGTGGAGGTACCCTGGGTTGGGGATGGGAACGATCCGTGGGGAGTTGGGCGTGGTCACCGGGCCGAATTGGAGGGCGGACGTGGATTTCGAGCTGTAAGTCGGCCGCCTTCCAAATCCAAAATGCGTGAGGTCGACATTGGCTGAATAAACGAGGAACTCGGGTCGTTCGTCCCTGCAGCGCCCTGAGTCATTATGACGAACCGGTCGAAGGGCTCGCCGATACGATCCGATACGTGCAAGATGGATTGCCCCGGATGTCCAGCTCGAGGGTCACGGTGTACTCGAAGAAGCTGGAAGGGTCCGATCGGCATGGTCTGCAGAGGTTGTTAAAAGAGACCAAGGCGGACGAGGTGGTCGCGCTCGCAAACGTCGGAAGGGAGGGGGAGACGTATCTGGTGAGTACGACACCGGCTACTTTGAGCGAGTTGCGTGCCGTCGACTGACTTGTTTCGACCTCGGACCCCGACTTGCTGGCAGCAACACATCGCACGACGATACTCCAACCCCCGCGCACCTCTGGCCAGGCAGACCTTTTTCCTCCAACCACACCTGGCCTGGGATTGGGTGGCTAAACCTCGTCTCAAGGAGGTCTACGCGGATACGGGTTTCATCTCCTTTGGCCCCTATTTGAACGCTTCGTGTACGGGCGACGGGTCTGAGAAGGATAGTCATGGGATGAGTTTCCCGAGGATCTCACAGATCTATGCGATGTTCAATGGGGATCTTTGTCCGTCGACCGGGTTCAGCGTGAGTCTGTTCTCCAGCTTGATCCTGTTGACCACGTACACCACTGGTAATGAGCGCTAATCCCACTGCGGCCCCGCTTTCCTTCCGGGCGTAACGCTAGGTCACCTGGGCCGGCCAATTCCTCGCGTCCAGAAAACGCATCCAAGACGTCCCTTTACAGACGTACTTGAACCTCCTCGGGTACTTTGACGTCGAACCGAACTCTGCCGACCCGAAAGCGTGGATATGGAAGGAACAGTGGTGGAACGCGAAACCGAGCGATCCGACGTTAGGTACGCGGAGGCAGTCTGAATGCGATTGCGTTTTTTTAGGTTCGATATGTTTTTGTGGCTGACGTCAGGGCGTGATGTGTGTTTCGGCTTGCGTTTCGTGTCGCACAGGTCATTGGTTGGAACGAAGTTGGCCCAGCGTGTTTAGGTGTTCGCAGTTGGACCTGGCGGATTGTGGGGAACAGCCTGGGGAGCTCTGTCAGTGTAGGGATCGGGTGGAGTAGGATAGGAACTCGTTCGATCGGGGTCTTTTGCATAGGAGCTAGGAGCTAGGAGGGTTGTTTCACGATACACGATTACATGACATGCGTGGACGTGAACTCACGATGAAGAGTTTCGCATTTCCGTCCTCCTGAGCTTCTCGGGTGATCTTTCATCTCACAAGTCGATTCCGAGGTCGAGAAGGGTGTGGATGGGAAACTCTGCCGTAACTCGGTTCCCATGATTTTCGCAGTAAAACGTCTTGGTCGCCGAGATCACAATCAAGGGAGGACAGACAGAAAGCATGCATGCAACTATGACCACTTTATCGTTGTTTATCGCATCTTGTGAACTTGTAACATCACCCAGGTTCCACCTTGCATACCCTGTCCGATGCCGGACATACAGAACCCATTTAGTGCCGGGTTCACTCGCCGTCATGCCATCGTCACCGCGGCTGGGCTCTTCACCTTGATCGCGCTCATCACCTTTCTAAGAGGAGTCCCTTCATCCACGTCCATCTCAAGGTCGAGTTCGAGGTACCCTGCGGGATGGCAAGACCGAGACCCGCCGCCTCTGGGGGAACTGGACTCGTTCGCGGACAACTTGCACTTGACGCAGAGTCAGTGTCAGGTCTTGTTCCCCCGGCTTTATCAAGAGGCGGACCGGGCGGCCGAGTGGACGTTAAGTAGGGGAGGGGTGACGCTGAAAGACCTGGATGCGGCGGAGGAGAAAGGGTCTGCGAGGTTGTTGATCTGGAGGAACAAGGTGAGCGTGGCCGCATTGTTTATATATAGACGATAGCTGATGACTCTGCGTCCTCGCTCGACCCGACCTGATCTCGATAGCTCTACGTAAGGAGATGGCGAGGCGGTATCAACACCCGCGCTCAGGCCAGTCTTGCGGCGATTCACGATATGGTGATCAGCTCGACCGAGCCGTTACCTGATGTCGAGTAAGAGTTTTTCTTCTGTTTCTTCGTTTCTCCGGGGCCGAGGTTTCGAGGTTTCGAGGCTTTCGAGGTCTCACAAGGAAAGACGTTTGGCTGATATATCGGAGCTGGATGCACGTACTCGCAGGTTCGTCATACAGAGCGGAGATAATGGGGATGGGGACGAGCCTGTCTTTGCGTTGAGTCGGAAGCCGGAGCAAGAGAGCGTGAGCAGCGTAGCGATAGTCGGGTATCAGAAGTGGCCAAGCAGTTTTGCTGATCTCATAAACGTCGGCCGTCTCGATATATATGTAGCTCTGGTTGATGCCAGGTAAGTATCCTCCCAACTCAACCCATCTCATATTATCAACAAACTAAATCATTTCCCAACCGCTTCTCACCTGTAATTTTTGCTAAATCGACCTGGGCAGACTTTGGGTTCTACTCTTGGCCCGAACCGCTAGGATCCGATGCGTCTGCCTATACAGAAATCAGACAGGCAGCTCTGGATAGGGAATGGGGCTTGGCAGGGAAGGCTGGCGAGGATTCGTTGAGGAGTGTGAATGTTACTGGGAATCGTAAGCAGCCGCCTGGGGAGGCGACTTTAGATTGTGGATGGACATTGTGGTTGATCGAGGCTGATAAATTGTTTGATAGAACCCCCGAGTTGGGGTGCGAAGATACCCAAGTTGCTCTGGAGGGGTGTACCGATGGTAGACGTTCGACAGGTGAGTAGTCGAGATCCAAATTACAGCCGTGCGACCCGCCAAATTGACGGGGGGAACTCGCTCGCTATGCAGCAACTCTTGCGAGCAAGTCGTGATCAACCTTGGTCCGACGTCGGTGAAATCGATTGGGGCAAGGTCAAGGAGACCGGGTTCTTGAGCCCAGCAGAGCATTGCGATTATCGGTTCCTCGCCCAGGTCGAAGGTCAGATCCGGCCTCGGTCTCAATCTGAATATACGTAGAGCTGATTCCAGCTACTTTCTTCTTTTGGCAGGCTGGGGATATTCGGGTCGATTAAAGTACCTGCAGATGTGTCGGTCGGTGATCGTCTCCCACCCTCTGCGGTATATTCAACACTTCCATCATCTCTTCAATACAAACGATCGGTCCCCACAGCAGAACATGGTCGAGGTGCCTACGCCGCTAGAGGAGAATTTGCCTGCGGTCATGCAGGCTTTGATAGCCGACGACGAACGGGCAGAGAGGATCGCCTCGAATTCGTGGTCGTACCTGCGACAGCGATACTTGACGCCAGCTGCCAAGTGAGCATAAGGCAAGGACGTGATATCGAATGTTCACTGGCTGACTTAGACGATCCCATTACACAGCAACTGTTATTTCAGATATGCCATCCGAGCTTACGCTTCTGTACAGGCTTTTCAACCGGAACGCGGGGATAGAGGTGTAGCTTATGAATCGTGGTTGTTGACGGGGAGGACCGAATGGGAGCAACATTGATCAGGAAGGGCCCATGTATTATCAATCCGATGTATTGCCCGTATGCCTTGGTCAGATCTCGCTGGTGTTTCAGTGGCATACTTCCGTGATTAGTGAGCGCGGTGACAGTCGCGGACGGTGGGTTTGGCGAGATGTCCCGCGAAAGAGCCGAGGGTCGAGCTTATAAAACACGCGCCAGGTCGGTCGTTTCATCGAGTTTTGCCTTTGTGATCGATAGTCTCTCAGCCTTTGCAACCGACTTTTACGCTCACATACGCCCCTCAGGGCAACCTCGAACACACTCGACTATCTCGCTCGATTACAACATGCACGTCTTTGTCACTGGCGCTACCGGATGGGTCGGATCGGCCATCGTCCCCGAACTCCTTCAGAACGGACATACCGTCCTGGGCCTGGCTAGATTCGAGGAGTCGGCCAAGAAGCTCAAGGATCAGGGAGCCGAGGTTCTGATGGGAACCTTGGAGGATATGGAAATACTCAAGGAGGGCGCCAGTCGATGCGACGCCGTCATCCACGCCGGTTTCATCCACAACTTTGCCGATTACGCTGGATCTGCCGCCAAGGACGCCGTGGTGATCGCGGCCTAGGGCGAGGTCTTGAAGGGAACCTCGAAGCCGTTCGTCGTGACTAGCGGATCGCTCGCTCGGGGCGACGACAAGAAGATTCTCCTTCAGGAGACGGACGAGGCGGGACCGTACTTTCCCAGGCTGGCGACCGAGAAGGCTACGCTTGCTCTCGCCGATGCCGGCGTCAAGGCCATGATTTTGAGGTTGGCTCCTTCGGTTCACGGAGCTGGAGATCAGGGCTTCGTTTACAGACTCGCCGAGATGGCCAAGGAAAAGGGCTTCTCGGCGTACGTCGATGAGGGTAACAACGCATGGCCCGCCGTCCACCGCAAGGACGCCGCAGTTCTCTACCGTCTGGCCATCGAAAAGCCTGCCGGCAGGATCTTGCACGGTTTCGACGACCAGGCGGTTCCCTTCAGGGAGATGGCTCGAGCCGTTGGTCAGAAGGTCGGAGTCGAAGTCAGGTCCGTCCCTGCCGAAGAGGCCGAGGCCCACTTCCAGTGGTTGTCCTTCTTCGTCTCGATTGAGTCCGGAGCGACCAGCCAATGGACAAGGATCAGTTCGGGTGGACTCCCAAGGAGATCGGATTGTTGGAGGATATTCGTTCCAATTACTAGATTTAGGCGAGCCTTCCTTCGATATAAATCGCTCGAACCAAGACTAAGGCTTCCGGGCCGGTCATTGTCGTTAGCGCGCACAGTCCCCGGGCCGTTTCGTCGTAGATCCAAATCCTGTATATATAGGCCGTCATGTTGCATGTTGGGCACCGTTGATCATTGATCATTGAGAACTTCAGTCACTAACGACCTAATGAAACAGCGAATGCACTTCCCGGCACCAAGTCCACGATGTATGTGTCATTGATATTATCCTCGCTGCTCGCCAGCGCGGCCTTGACGAGCGCGACGGCCAATTCTACCTGGGCGGCTTGCCAATATCCTCGCGCTCAGGGTTCACAACTCGACCAGTGCCCCAACGGCACGCTCTACGTATCGCAGACCGATCCTCAGGCCGGGTTCGGGCAGGTGAGTCGAGCGTTGGAGTCGGCTGTTCTTCTTTCACTCACGATTGTCCCGCTGTAAGATTCAAGTCGCTATCGAAAGCTTGTAAGTTGGCGAACCGGAGTCTGTATAGCAAATGCGCTGACGGCACTCTCATGGCGTAGACCACAGGATAAGTGAGTACGAAGTTGATCCCCCTGCGCCGCTGATTCGCTGAGCATTAATCGACTCGACCTAGTTCGTCTCACGTCATCCTCATCGGGCCCGGAAACTACCACGAAGTCATCAACGTGACACGCCAAGGACCACTGACATTGCTGGTCAGTCGAACAATCTCCCATAAGCGCATCGATTCCCCTTCTGACAATGGTCTGCAACAACATACAGGGAGTGACATCGGACCCATATGACTGGCGTAACAACCAAGTCCACGTCTGGAATTCCTCTTTCATCAACCAGACCACGCAGGCCGTCGGCGAGGACAATGCGGATGCCATGGTCCTCACCGTCTCGCCGAACCGGAACGCTTCATTGATCGGAGCAGGTCCTGCAGGAGCGCCTTTACAACCGGAGTTCGGGAATATCGATTTCAGGGTGTATAATCTGGATTTCGCAAATCGGGCGGTGAGTGCAGACTGAAGCAGAGTATTCCGTTGGGTCTGAGCTGATGTTTTGTTGATTGGTGTTAGACGGTGGGTGGTCGCGAGTTTATGGGACAGACAGGACCGTCGGGGGCCGTCAGCGTTTCATATACCAATGCGAGCTTTTACGGATGTTCTTTCTTTTCCTGGCAAGATACTCTGTACGTCGGGAGAAACGGGAGCGCGTTGTTCTACGGAGGAGAGGTCCGAGGCGAGACCGACTACCTGTATGGATTCGGGACGGCATGGTCAGTCTAGCCTTGACGTCTGTTCTGAAGATCTTCAGATAGGCTGATGTTGTTTCGCTGTAGGTTCGAGAATGTCACCATGGCAAACCGAGGGAACGGCGGAGCTCTGACGGCATGGAAAGGCTCGACCGGTATCATCACGGACGAGGTCAACACGTACGGCGTGTACCAGGCGAATGGCAGGATCGTCCGAGCTGAAGATGCGCCTGAAGACCTGAATTTGAGTACGTGATCGCAGGCAGCATGATTCGTGGCTTATTATCAAGCTGATATTACGTCTGCATCGTAGCGCGTTCTTGTGCGCTCGGAAGACCCTGGAACAACGCCTCCAGGGCAGTCTATCTGAACACGTACATGTCCGATATCGTCCTGCCCCAAGGGTTCATCGAGTGGTCCGCCAAAGAACCTCGGATCGTACCGGGATTGACCGAGTTCGTAGAGGTCGGATCGTATGGCCCGGGATTCCAGCTCGAGCAGAGGAATCAGAGCGTGGGCGAGGTCGCAAACGGGAGCGCGTATACGGTCGAGTCGGTATTCGGGGGGATGCCTGCCTGGGTGGATTTGGGGACTGTCGTGTTTGGCAAAGGCTCGAGCGCGAGTAGTTGAATCAATTAGGATCAATCTGGTATATACAATAAGAGATCTTGAGGACATTGGTGATGCCGAATCGACCGATGTACGATGCCTATGCTACCCCTGAACCTCGACGTGTACAACCTTCATATATTTACAGTATCCATCCACCTTTAGAACCGGGAAATCGATCATCGGCGCGGCCCAGATCAGTCTACACGACAAGTTCTCACATCACTCAAGAAGCCTTGATGCTTGGGCCTCCTGCCATTGCTGGTGGAAAGGGTTCCCCGGATCGACCTGTTTGCAGCGGTTTAACTCGTAGCATCGAATCGTGATCTTTGGATCCAAAATCGGGATCCCGCCAGCCGATTTTACTCGTCTGTTGAATTCGCCGTGCCAATCTCTCGTTAAGAATCGACGCGTTCGAGCTACAGCGTTGCCCCACTTGAGATCTGGCGGGATACTGTAGGTACTCGATCGGGTCAGAGAACGTATTCAAGCGATGCATTCTGAGGGGAGGGCTTGTCTTTCCGAACTCACTATCGCTGTATCGGATTGCTCATGGCTCGGTTGAGCTTGTCCAGCAGATCATCCCGATCGTCGAACTTGTACGAATAGACGTACGGCTCCCCAAGCGCCGCAGCGGGACCATGTTGACCATAAAGACTGTCCGTACTTAACGAGATCAGCCTGGACTACCTTGTGGGTCGTCGGCATGGAAGCTTACCCATTGAAGAGATACCATCCCGGTGGCTCAGGGTATTCCTGGAAATATGGGATCACCACTGGCACCCCCTGACATAACGCCGAGTACACGCTCGGACTGATAAGAGGGTTGCCGATCCCGATCAAAGCTCTCACTTGGCTGAGCAACCGATTGTAAGCGCTCCGCGATTTCGAACCGAGACTCTCCAATCCGGGCGGCAGCTCGAAGTCCTCTTCTCCTGGGTTATGCCAGTTTTGCGCCGTGCTGATGATATCGAAGGGACGGATCTTGTCTGACGTGTTCGCTAGCCATGACCATGTATCCAGCTCGGGCGCGTGGGGGTGATAGAAGTATTCGATCTTTTTGGCGTAGACGAGCGCGGTGTCGTTGCGCTTGTCGTGGTCTACGTAAGGTGTTTGCATGCAGCTCTTCTCGATGGACATTGGGAGCCAGCTGTGACCGGGGTAGTCGAACGGCCTGAAAGGTTGGATATGGTTAGATTGCCGACGTGACGGGATGTCAGATGTAGGACTGAAAACTCACGTAACCGTCCACTCCTGTCCGAGTGGATTGTGGCTCCATTCTTCGTCCTCGTTAATATCCCACCAATACCCAGAAGCCTCATGTCTTCCCGGTCGACTGCCCCAATAGTCCGTAGCGAACAGGCGCCATATGGGAATCGCCCCGAGCTCAGACTCAGGTATGTCCTCCTCTTCGGAGACGGTCTCGTTGGCATGGAGGATTGGCGCCACGTAGTGTTCAGGTGTTATGCATCGTCGATCCGAGAGACATGAAACGACTTGGACGTCTTGAGTCCATACCATATGGCTGTAGAGAGGTCGCGTGGCGCAAGAAAATATTTGCTGACTGTCAGGAACGTTGCCTCGAAAACGCCATGGTATCACACTTTCCGCACTTACATCAGATCAGGCAGCCATTTGCTCAACGCCACCATCTCTTGATATGCATTCACACCCAGGGTAATGTATCCGTTGGCGTGTAGTTGGTCTTGCACGCTCTTCATCCAGATGACCTCGCCGGTCGTACTGGATCGCGCGGGGTTTGCTGCTTCGGTAAAGTACCAGTATCCGGAGATGATGAGTGGTCGAGGGGGACAGCGTAATTTCCCGGTGAGGCACGCTTTGAGCCGCCCGACTGATTCTAGGTTGTGACGGTATGCATGATCAGAGAGTCTGTTCACGAAACACAAAAATGGGACATCGATCAGAGCGAGCAAGAACAGCGTGCTAGAAATGGCGCCTCACAGGTGCAGGACCTCCTCCTTTTCGAGCAGAGCTTCGAGCTGCCTGTACTGCTTCGCTCTGCTACACCCTGGTGGGTCGTATTCCGCACCTCGCCCAGAGTCCCAACCACTGCATGATCGGAGGTCCAGCTGTTCACGTAGATAGCTGAAGCTGTTGCCCGTCCCGAGTGGGTCGTCTGATATATCGTGCCTGACGACCCAGAGGCTGAGCGCGAGGAGTGAAGCGCCAAACGCGAGGATGGCCGTGAGCTTGGTGTTTCTAGCCATCTAGAGTAGACAATACGGTGGGATCGCACGATGAAACGGATCGTCTTGCAGAGGTTGATCTTTTTATTGCGGTCTTGTCAGGTCACCTGCGATGTTAGGTGAGGGATCTGCAGCCGAGGTACTTCTTCCGGCGATTGAATCGCGGACGTAGTCCCTTGCCTCGGGGGTAATATGTCGATGGGGTCTCCAAAAAGCTGGACGTATCGAGTTGATAGAACTGGGCAAAGTACGAGAGCAGTGGTATGGAGTCGAACAAATACAACACACGACCTGGTACGGTTAATCATAGCTGTTTCTGAAGAGCGGCGATTCTCTCGGTCTCGGATGGCAACCTCCCGCTGACGAGCGTATAGCTAAAAGCGATCGGAATGGCAATCAGCTCGCGAATGAAGGTGCACTCGAACCGGCGACTCACATCCCATCGAGGGTTCCCAGGTCCATGTCCACCGGCTTCCCATTCAGCTGCTCTGAGAACACCCGGGCTTCTTCTCGTATGACCTGGGTCCAGCCGTCGGAATTATCGTCGGGCAAGAGCTTTTGAACTCGTCGATCGTCCCGCAAGATGCTCATGCGTTCATGATGTCTCTCCAGCCCCAACAAGACGTTTGTCCACTCGGTCAGGTAGTTGGTCATGGTGAGCGAGACTGCCAGAGGGATGTGCATGGTCGAAGTGGCTGGGAGGGAGGGGAAAACGTCTAACAAGAGCGAAGGGTTCTTGGCGTAGAAATGGTGGAGGATGGCGAAAAATGAAACGCTTAGGAGACCGACACCTTGGCCGAGGTAGAAGTGCTTCATATAGCCTCTAGTGACTACCGCTCGGGCTGATGATATGAAGTCAATCAGTCGGTTGCTGTTATCTTGTGTGGTAAGATCTGCGGTTCAGGCGACGACTTACAGACTAGAGCCAGGTTGTAAGTCAAATCTCTCGACTCTAGCTGGTGTTCTTTCAAGCATATCAACAATGTCTCGGGAAGATAGGCAACCGAGCTGTAATATCCACGTCATCGTCCCGTCAGCAACCTTTCACTGGAAGGTGTTGAACTTGCTCTCGTCAAACCCACTGAGATTCTAGGGCTTTCCACGATTCCGAGGTTTCTTCGTCCTCCTTTTCCCAATTATCAGGCCGGACGACCAATTCTACCGAGCCCGCATGCTCATCACTCATAGCGACCATCGCCCGGACTTTGGTTTCAAATTCCGTCACGTCGAACGATAGTCCCTTCTTCTCAGCCCATTCAGCAAGTGTCGGCCAGACTGCTCCTTTTCTAGGATCTTTCGTAGACTTTCTCGCATAGGCGTCTTTGTCCTTGATCCGTTTCCACAAGATAGGGCCGTTGATCAAGGTCCTGTGTGTGCGGAGAGAGGTGGTTTTGACGGTGTTCAGCTGTGCTCGCAACCTGCGTGGGATCTTGAGATCCGCAGGATGTCGTGCGATTGGGCTTACACGATACTAATCCCGATCAATCCTACGCTCATGGCCATAGGTTCGACCCTTCCGGGGCCTAGCCATTCGTACAGCCCAGTCAACGCTACACAGGGTAAACCCACCACCAAACCAAAGAGACCGAAGGTCCCGGCGTTCTTCTTCCATTCAGGCCATTTGAGTACCCTTTCCCTCTTCTCCTTGTTCTTCATGTACCAGACGTTGGCGAACGTGGTGATCAGGACGTCCCGATCTTTCTTGTAAGAATCGTCGACTTCCGAGGTCAGGCGGGAGTAGAGCCGATGTACGGCCGCACTTATCAGGAAGTTGAGGTGGAGGATGGCGAAGGTGAAAACGGCGTTGGAGATGAGCTACATGCGTAACGGGGCAAGAATATGATCCTTTCATTCAGTATCGTTTGATAGTTGACGGCACAGAGCAGGAAATGCCGACTCACACGACCTCCGAAGCTGTCAGGCGACCGAACGAGTCTTCCAGCGGTATTGCTAGCGAAACTCCACAGCTTGTCCAGTCCTCCGAGTAACATTCCATAGCTAGTCGACAACTGGATGCCCTGTAGTAAGATCTCATATCGGAATTTGTGTTTGATCTGCTCGACCCTGGTTGTCGAATCGGAGGGTTCTTTCGATTCCTTGGTCTTCGTTTCGATTGGGGGCCGATAAGCCGGGGTGTTCATATAGGCGAGTTGACGGTATCTACATGTTCCTCGTCAGCCGAATTTCATCTAAAGCGACCAGAACTGCAGCTTACTTGCTGTAGATGGAGACACCCGCACTGAGTGTACAGGAAAAGAGAGCCGCTTTGACGAGATTGAGAGAGCCATCAGGTTTGATGATGGGCTTGCTAAAGACTACGATGATGTGGTTGAACAGGTTGGCGGGTGCCAGACCTGCGAGCGTTTCCATGGCGGGCCAATCTCGATGCAAGATGTATCTGGTCAATGAGGAGTATAACTGCCCAGGTCTGGATAGCAATTTGTGCAAGTCGCACAACTCTGTACCCAGTCGAGTGCAACTAGATATAAGACGCTGTCCTGACAACGCCCATGACGACATACGAACGACGATGACCGCTCGACTCGGCCTCGGCAAGCAAGAAATCATCCGAGAACCGACAGTCGTGCCTGTCTGGGCGGCCGAGGACTAGCGCGCGCCTGAAACCCTAAATACAACCCATTCCGAAGAGGATATCCTCGTTTATAACTTTGTCGAGTCTCGTTCTACGGCAGTGTATTCACCAGAGGCTTCTCGCCTGTCGGTCTCTTGTTGAGTCTTGAAACATGCTCTCTTTTTTGTGATGTGCGCGAAGGGATGATTAGAAGGTTGACGGGTGTTGCATCATCGAAACGGTGAGATGCTCGTGCTTGTGGACAGCAGTTCACTGAAATGTGGTGCGTGTATTACCTGGAATGCTCAAATTCTTCGACCGATACGTCGACCACCGCTCCATGTCCAATAATCCTCTTCGAAGAGGCGCCCCCTCTCTTATGTCGGAATCAAGGTTGAAGACATCAGTCGCATCAATCTCGTTTTCATGATGCACTGCGACAACATACAAGGCTGGTCATCTCGCAATCGTGGAACCCTCAACCAATCTGCGTGACGATGTCTAGAAAGACGCCCCTATGTCAACAAAGATCGCCCGTTTGTATCAGCATCGTTTTTCCTGCAGGCCCTCGTGTCGCTGAATCTCAAGGCCCTTGCGCAAGATTCGACCTCGCCTGGCTGAAATATCGTCTTTTCGACTAGGACCAAAGAAGCTGATTGTTGTTGCGGCGATGCCGAGCTTCTTCGATGACATCCTTTGAGATCAGTTCGGCATAGCTCATAAGCAAGGGTCGTATTTGCCGAAGATTCTGGTCAACTTCCTTTGACTGCGGCTCGGCATGACGCGTGTCATTTTTCGCCACGATATGGCTACAAATGAGGGGTAAATGACGTTATGATACAGGACGGCCAGGGCTCCTTCGTATAGGCTCTACAGGGCAGTCATACAGTTCGTTATCTCGTTTGGGGGAAATCGTCAGCGATTAGAAACTCAGTATTAGATGTATTTTAAATTGGACATAGAACCGCGAACTCGCTGCTGTCGCGCTCAATTCCGCAGGCTGTGTAAATGGCGAAAGAACTCGTCATGGCTTGGCGATGCCATCGGACTCCTTTGATTTGATGAATGTACAGTTTAAACTTTGGTAGCCAGACAGGTATATAAGACAAGAAGATGTTCCTCGTGTGACCGGCGGGAAAATGGAAATATCAGGATTGAGCCCAGATCAGTACTGATCAACTCCCAATCTAGCTTCGACGCGAAAAGTCTTTGTTGCAACTGCGAAATGTCCGGAAGTCACTGGAGTATCGTCATGGGCGATCACCCTTCGAACGCACCTACCGACTCCATTCCTCCCACTAGCACTGGTGGCGGCACCGTTCCCGGTGATACCTTGGCTTCTGATGGTTCTCGATTCTCCGCCGCCGGAGCTAGTACAACCTCTGGCCCGGCCACAACTACCGCCTCGTAAGTGAAATGAGCCGAATCTAAGGTCATCAGACAATCTCTCATATCGTTACCAGCAGCAACAATCCCGTGGAGGAATCGAAAGAACAGGAGGCGATTCGGCTTGCGCGCGAGAAGAAGGTCCGTGAAGGTACCGCGCTGTAAGTCGACCAGTCTGTCGATCATCATCGCTGTCTGACTACTCCTGCCTCTGTGATCAAAGGCCCTTGTTCAAACGCGGAGTGCATTACCAGTGCAGATATATCATCCTGGTGCCACAACAACCAGGAACTGATAAGAGGGGATATCAACCGCGGTGTCTGTCGTGTAAGGACCTCCCTCCCGACGAGTCCAGGCTTCTGTGTGTGCACGTGGAGACGATCGCTCAGAGGTTCGGGATCAGAAAAAATCGGAAAACAGGAGAGATGCACATACCTCTCTTTTTCGAGTACGAACCCCACAATGATGTCGGAACAACGTGGGAAAAGGAGAACTTCGAGAAAGTGTGCCAAGTTCTTGAACGTGGCACTTATGGTGCGCGTCAAGTGAAAATGTTCGACACCGACGCACCGGATGGCAATGTCCTTTACGACGATAACAGGAAGGGAATGGTTATAGGAGGACCTCTCTACGCAGTCGAGGATTGGAGGTTACAAGAATTCTGGGAGGAACGCTGGAAACCATATCAGTTGCCCCCTACATGGGACTGAGCGTATTGTGCATCGTATCAGTACAAGTATGGTTACATCCTGTCGGGATGTGAAGAAGTGATACTCTACACTCACGTTGTTATCAAGTCCCGGCCACTCGTTTTTCCCGCTCAACTTGTACTTTGTCTATGTCAATCTATGTTTATGATCCGTGTTTCCACCAGGTTTCTTCTTGGACTGGAATTTGGATTCGACAGCGAACATCGCGACAAGAGCCCATTAGCAAGTCTTCAGTATGCGTTACAGGTCAAAGACCTCTGTCTACGGTAGATTGCGATACTCGCGTCATCAGATTCGTCTGCAGGAGGTCACAAAGACGCTTAGTTGATATTAAGAACGGGCTCATTCAGAAATCGCATGTCAGTTGGATGCGTCATAGCCGAGAATGTGCAGGCCGACCATTGCGATACTTTTCCGTGTGATGGGGTTCTTCCTGACAAACGACTCACATGTGACTTCGCAAGATAGATTTGTACAAGACTTCTCTCTTGTTGAGCAAGGTACCCACCCATAGTACTGCGTATAATTCTCCTTACCAGGAGCGATCGAACGCATAAAGCTCGCTCTGATTGAGGATATTTCTGCGTCGAGTCAGTTTGTTGACGGGGATAGAATCACTTTGGCGGAAATGATTTTCAGCGAAGTTCTAACAAGTCCGTATAGCGCTCCTCTATACGGTTGCAATTCGATGACCCCCTCTGGCCATAAGCCCTTACCTCGTCATCTGCTCAAGCTATGAAGAGAACCCTACACGGTAGCTTCTCGGCTGAGCATTCCTTTGTTGCAATACCCTAATCCAGGCGTCGAAACGTAAGCGCGCTCGAGGTGCTTCCGTGCATGTTGTATCTAGGCGGGATTCCCGCTCGAGTGAAAAGTATATAGCGCTAGCACGTTAGTTGGACGATCACATTCAAGCTCGATAACATTGAGTATAACAAGAGGCCGCTCATCTACCAGATTTCGAATGTTCTTAGCTTACACCCTGGGCAATGCGTAAAGATTCTCTCTCGAGGCGCATCAATGATCCTTCTGATCAAGGGCTGTCCAGATCGACCAACACCCAATCTCAAGGTTCAGATTTCATTTCAGCTTGGGTGAACGAGATGACGGAACGCACCAAGAGAACCGGGGATGATCAGTCAAATGCGGACATTGGTCCCAGTACAGCCCTCTCGGATCCATTTACTAGCACCGCACCGAAAGTTCCGGAGGACGCTCTGCAGTTGGACCTGACCACCCAAAGAATAGGAGAGAGTGATAAGTACCTCCAGTTCCGTTTCTTCTGGAACGGGCTGGACGGGAATTGTGATGAACACAGTCAGGTTCGACACGATTGTCCTCATCTCGAAGCGCTGAAGAGGAATCCTTCGGCATACGAGAATCCTCCCGCTTATAGGTACTTGGGTGAGAGGCGAGGTAATGTTCTTCCGATCGCCTTCCGTTTTAGTCTTGTCGATGGGAAAGCGAGCGACTATGAGGCGATACAGTGGAACGATGAAGCAGAGAGCTTGTACGCGAATTTCACGGCAAAGACGAGGAACTTACGTAGAGCTTGAAGAGGCCCCAGATCGGATCTGTTTCTGAACTCGATAGATGCGGCTTGTACATTTTATCTCGTAGTTCCTTTTCTTGGAGATATATCCCTCCGCGAGCGATTCCTGGCTTGTCATCGTGATGTCGATGATCCATGCGAGATAGATGCGATCTTTGTCGCAGATCTATGGACCCTTGCGCATCATGTTCAGCCGCACCATAGATCATAGATATCATAGATATCATAGAGGTAGAGGATGGTTCAAGCTGTTTCTATCTTGCGACGCCCCTTGAGCTTGGACTCTTCGTTCACCTTGTGTCACTCCTTCACGCTATCGTCATCGTGTTGTCGGGATCTCGATTAAAAGTCACAACTGTCCTGATGACACTCGACTACAAGCTGCTGGACTCGGGATCATCACAAAGGTCGTAGATCATAGACCTAGCACGGTCAAGACAGTGATCAATCACCACAAAAGAATACGTCAACAAGCCGAAGTAGCGAAAAAGAACAAACATGGCGTTCACAGGTATGATCGAAGACATACCTCCAAATGGCTCTTGTCCCCGTCTAATCCATTCTGACTTTCCTCCATCCGCCTTCGCTCGTCAAATAAATCACAGTCGAGATCAAGCATGCAGGCAAGCAACACAAGGTCGAGTTCAACCCTGTGGGAGATGCCAAGGCGTTCAAAGAGAGCATCTACCAGGTCACGGGCGTGCCTACCGGTAAGTCCTTTCAAATTCCACAGGGAACTGCTGTCTTGCAGCCTGGGTAGCGAGCTGAGAAGTGAGATGCGATTATGGGAGGTAGACCGGATGAAGGTCATGGTCAAGGGCGGGATCCTCAAGGTTAGTCACAAGTCGTCCACCTCGAGTATCGGAAAGAACGGCCCGGTTGACTGATGGGGAAACTTGGGGGGTGTTTTTGTTAGGATGATGCGGATTTGAGCAAGTTGGCCATCAAGGAGGTAAGGCGAGGTCCGAGTGTCGAACCTGAAAAACGCTCCCCAGGACTAAACGCGGGCAATGTTCCTATCGAACTCAACCTTTTCGTAAACTACAGGGCCAAGCGATCACAGTAAGCAAATTAATCCAAACTGTTGTACGTCATCATTGACCAGGGCTGATGAAGACGAACTCGTACGGTTACACTACAGGTCATCGGTACGGCCGGTCCTTTACCTCAAGCGCCGGCTCAGACGATCAAGTTTGTCGAGGATATGGACGATTCCGATCTGGCCAGTGTCGTCAGTCTTCTTCCACCTTTCTCTTTACATCTAGCGATTCGAAAGACTGATAGTCCTGGACACCATTTCCCATCAGCTCAAACAACCTCCCGGTCTGACCAACCTCGGGAACACCTGTTATATGAACGCCTCCCTCCAAGCCCTCCGCTCGATCCCGGAACTGAAGACCGCCCTAACGTCCCACATGCCCAACTCTACTACCAGCTCGGGAGGGGATGCAAGGCTGACCACCCAGTTGAGGTCGTTGTTCAACGGGATGGATCAGACGACAGAGGCGATCCCGCCGTACATGTTTTTGCAGACGTTGAGGACGATCGCGCCGCAGTTTGCGGAACAGAGTCAGCATGGTGGTTATGCTCAACAAGGTGCGCTCCGATCATCATGTCGTTTTATTACTCTCATACTCCTTTTCGTTTGTCGCTGACTTTGTTTACTGGCTCGATGGGGAAACTTTTACGGTTTGCGGAGGATAGACGCCGACGAGATGTGGACCCAGACCGTCAGCGCCTTGCACAATTCGTTACGTTCCCCCGACGCTGGGGGCGAATCCAGCCGGGGTTCGTTTGTGGACGATTATCTCTCGGCCGATTTACAGCAGACGTGAGTGATATTGTCGATATTTTCTTCGTCTCTTGTTTCACTTGGGCGACAATATGGACGCGATGGTTGCTTACCTTACTCTACCTAATACTATGCTTCACAGGCTGACTTGCGACGAAGCGCCGGAAGAGCCCAAGAACGTCAAGACGGACAAGGTCCTCAAGCTCGACTGTAACATCAATATCAATACCAATTACATGTTGACGGGGATCAAGGATGTGAGTGCGAGGTGCAAGCGATCCGTCATCTCCGGGCAGTCTTGTCGCTAAACCTCAAATATCTTTATTTTGGACTTCGTTCTTTCGCCGTAGAGCTTTGATCAGAAGATCGAAAAGACTTCGCCCTCTCTCGGAAGGACCGCGGTTTACACCCAGTGAGTTTCCACTCCTCTAGATCGATCTCTGTCGTCGCGTCTCTGACCGGATCCCACCCTACTCGAATCAGGACGTCTCGTATCGCTCGACTGCCCGCCAACCTGACCGTCCGTGAGTGCACCTCGCGTCGCCAAAAAAACAGCTAGGGGTTTCGTTTTTTTACTGACGAAAGACGTTCGATCGACCCGACAGACATGGTCCGATTCTACTGGCGAGCCGACGTCCAGAAAAAGGCCAAGATCATGCGTAAAGTCAAGTTTTCCATGGAACTCGACGTTTCCGAGCTGGTCAGTCCGAAGAGGCGTGTCACCGAGCTCCTCTCAGAAGAAAAAAGCTAACCACCGAGGCTTTTCCCTCACCGATACGTTCTTACCTGTCTCTTCGCACCCATGGTAGCTCACGGACGAACTCCGCGAACGAGTCCGACCTGTCAACCTCGCTTTGAAGAACATTGACAAGGCCCGGATCGACCGTGCCAAGCAGCGCAAGAAGCGCAAGAACAATATCAGCCGGGGTCTTGCGCCCGGTGGAAGTGCAGGTCCCGCCGAGTCTGGAGCTGCTGCCCCTAGCACTAACACAGAGAGCGCCGAGAGCTCAGAGGGGGATGCTGTTACGGCTACGACTACGGACATGCAGGTGGAAGGCGGCGACGAGGAGGTTCCCGAGGAGAAGATGCGGGAGAGGGAGAGGGAGATGGTCAAGGATCTCATCAAGGCCCAGGAGGGTGCTGTGGACAAGGGTGCGAACCAGACGGGGTTGTACGAGTTGTGCGGTGAGTCTTCTATACTTTACTTTACTCTACAGTAGAGCGTCTTGCCAAAGCCACATGTCGATGTTTTTGAAGCGAAAAATCAGGCTGACCAACTTCACTTTCGATATGCGGCACGTTTGGATTCATTTCTCTCGTAGCGATCGTCACGCATAAAGGCAACTCGGCCGATTCTGGGCATTATATCGGATGGACGCGTCAGCCTACCGAGGAGAATGGGGTTCCGGGGGAGGAGGATTGGTGGAAGTTTGACGGTGAGCCCTAGGCCTTCGATGGTGCTCACTTTGCAAGAATCCAGGTGCTGACAAAGTATGCGACTGTACAACGTGACCTCGATGTTCGATCTCGATTTGGGAATGGCAGACGACAAGGTCTCGGTCGTCCCCGTGAGCAAGATCATGTCCCTCGATGGGGGTGGGGAGGACTCGACGGCGTACATCTTGTTGTACCGATCCAAGGTGGTATGAGACACGCGCCTCCGTTCAGGACTTGATACCCAGAAAGAAATACGCATAGTAGCTAGTAGCTAGTACTAGATAGTAGTCATTATGACATGGCAACTATCGATGAAGAGGTGAACCTGGATGCACGTTTGCCACGTCCTTGTATGCGCGTCGCCCCCACACTTGGCTGAGGCGTTGTTCCCGATCGTCGATGACCAAACGATGACCCCCTCGCTCGCCAGCCAGAGCCAGTCATCATCCGATACTTTGTACAACACCATTCTCACTCTGGTGTAGTGTACTCGATCGAATCTCTCCAAGGACTCCTTGGTTGGAGTCCCCAGTCAAAGATAAACTCTAACCTCATCAATTTTACATTCTATACCCATCGAATAGACCGAATTCGATCACACCCGACGACTACTAGTATGCCGCCACGAACACCTTCTTCACGCCGGAACGGTGCAGGAGGCCGGATGACGCATCATCACCTAGGGGACCTACACGATGATATCGATCTTCCCGTTTATGGGATCGCTCCTACGCCGACGAGCTTGTTGTCTGGTTCCAACAACTCGAACTCGAACTCGAACTCGAACTCGGTTTTGGTGGGACCGAATGGGGGAGTGAGAACAGTACCCGGTTCAGGGGTAGGGGTGGGGGTGGGTGGTGGGAGGAAATCGAGCGAGAATTATAATCAACATGCGAATGCCGGTGGAGGAGGAGGAGGGGGGAATTTGAATCATCTATTAGGACTGAGGATGCCCCCGAGGGCTGTCGTTGGGAGCGGGATAGGGTCTGGATATCCAGGGACGTCTGGAGGTGGGGGTGGGGTTACGCCGAGGAGGTCTAGAGGGATTAGGGGAGCGTTTAATAAGGACAGTGAGTCGGCGTCTTTCTCGTTCGTTCGGATCTGTTGTTGTCGTCGCTGTGGTGTGGTGGTGGAGGTTTCGTGGTATGATGTGATTTGGTTTGGTGTGGTGTGGTCATGGTCGACATCGATCACACAACGACATATGGCCTGATGACTGTCTGTCGATGATTCCGAGCGACTCTGAGCGGGGAAAGCTGACTACGTTTTTTATACCCTTGCATTCGCACGTTTTACTTGTACTCTCATTGGGAATTTTTATCTCAATCTCAATCTCTTTTGACTACAAACTCCACCTCGATCTCACAACGACCTCGACATCGTGACGACAACGACGACAACAACAACGATAACGACAACGACGATATGGACGACGATGATGATGATGAACGATAGAATACGTCAACGCGCAATTCCGATTCGTCATGAAACCGAGTGGGAATTATACGGCCCATTTCGCCGATCCTGATCTGTGAGTCCGCTCTGGTCTTCTACCTCTCACTGTTACCTCTACCTCTTGTCACCCGGATCTCGATCGCAAATAGCGGATAGCGAATACGTAGCGACCTTGACTGACTCTGAATTTGAACTCGTGTTTCGTGTGGAATAGCATCTTCCCATTCCAACAGATATTACAGGTGATCGTCCCTACCACCCCGCTCTTGTCCCTCGCCCAGGGTCAACCGGTTGATCTACACGATCATGATCACGATCACGATCAAGGGCACACGCATGAGGTGAAGCAGAAACAGTCGAGGGAACGGAAGGAACAGGAGGAGGAGGCTTTCAAGTGTCCGATTTGTTTGGGGAAGCCGGTTGCGGGGCGGATGACCAAGTGCGGGCATGTGAGTCGGGCGAGACGATGAGAAAAGAAAGAAAAACAATGGCGGTCTTGCCCGTTTTAGGAGAGAGGAATGCAGGCTGAATCCGAACGGTGTTGACCTGACCTGTCCTCGGGGTCACGTCTCTTGCTTACCCTTGCAGATCTTCTGTTTCCCCTGCATCATCCACTATTTCACCTTGTCCGACGTCCCGCGGTCGGCCAAGTGTCCGATTTGCGGGGAGACGATTCAAGAGTTTTTGTTGAAGAGCGTTAGGTGGTGGGACGAGGAGAGCGCTGGGCAGGCGGGTGTCGATGGGAAGCTCGTGTCTAAGCAATTGCGGGCAGGTACCGGGGAGGTGGTAAAGGCAGCGAAAGTGGAGACGGATTCGGAGACGGTCTTTGCGGCTGGCGATCTCGAAGGTTTGGAGGAACAGCCGTCCAGGCCGTCTGGGAATCGGGTCAAGATGCGTCTCGTCCAACGACCTCAGATCACCACGTTCGCCCTGCCCCGATCCCCTACCTGGCCGTCCGAAGTCGTCCCCCTCAACCAAGCCCCCTGGCATTTCATCCCCGACGTCCTCTCGTTTTCCAAATTCATGCTGGCCACATCGTCCTACATGATCTCTCAGCTCGAGAGGGAAGTGGCCGAGCTCGAACGTGAGCGGATCAACCTGCGGGGAGACGAGCTTGGGTTGTCGTTTGTCGACGTGGCGATGAGCAAGGTCAAGGAACAGATCGAAAAGGCGAGGACCGAGTTGGACACGCCGGTCTTCAGGCGGATGGAGAGGGAGGCGAGGGAGGGGGTGGCCGAGGTTCAGGAAGGGTGGAAGCGGAGAGTCGAACAGGCCGAGCAGAGGCAGCGAGAGAGACAGGCCAGGCAGCAGGACGAGCAGGAGGCGCAGCTGGTAGATGGGGTGGATGCGCTGGTCGTCGATTCTGCCACGACCATCAGCCCGGTGACGGCGACCACAGCGACAACGACCGCGTTGTCAGCGAACGCTCCTTCTTTCGTCATGTCCAGCGGGACCGGTGAGGCCTCCTCGACACCCACCAAATCCTCACGAAACAAGCGCCCTCCAGCGCATAACAACAACCCTAACAACTATTTCGCCGCGGACGACCCGGCCTACTTTTATTACCAGGCCGATAACGGCGCCAACGTGTACCTCTCACCGCTCGACATCAAGATCCTCCTCGGGCACTACAAGTCGTACACCGCCTTTCCCGATACGATCCTCGTCAAACCCGAGGGCGCCGACGAAGGGTCGATGAACGAAGACCTGAGGAGACGGTGTAAATACCTCGCACACCTGCAATTGGGCACCAACGTCGTCTTTGTAGAAGCCGACTTGGAAGAGACGTTGGGCAAGGGCGCGGTACAGGCTTTCGAAGCGCCGTTGAAACGACGGAGGGACCGCAAGCGGGAAAAGACGAGGAAAGAGGATCGGGCCAAGGTCAAGTGGGAAGCGCAGGAGAGGGAACGGTTGCCCTTTGGCGTGCCGCATTCTCATTCTCAACCCGCGGGGCCTAGCAAGGTGGCCACGACGATGGGAGCTATCGACCCGGGTTTGATGCTGGATGAAGACTTTTTGAACGCCCTAGAGAGGTCGAATAACGATCATCCGGAGGGGTTGGCGGTCTCACCGGGGACGGCTAGCTTGATCGCGCACATGTCTACTGGGCGGAACGGACCTTCGCCGAGTGGGATGTCGACGGGGAGCTCGACCGCAGCTCAAGCTCAAGGGCAAGGACAAGGACAAGGGCAGGGGCAGGGCATCTGGGGGTCTCCTACGAACGGGACGAACATGTCGTTCGCCTCTGCCCTTCATACACCGGGGGGACCTCGTCCAGCAGCCCGGAGACGTGACCCGGAGGTGGACGATGAGATGGCGAGAGCGTGGTTGGAGTTTGAAGAACGCGCTGCGGCTTCACGGGCTATACATCAGGTCGAGGGGCAGGATGCCGAAAATGCTGGCACTGGGGGTGAGCAAGGTGTAGCGACAGGAGGTGGTGGTGGGAAACAGGGAGGGAAAAAGGGTAGGAAAAAGGTCGTCTTGTCCATGGGTGGAGGCGGGCGACGAGGATAACAAACAAACGACAATCCTAGAAGGTTGTAGGAGATCGCTATTATTCTGCCCTGCCTCCTTTCTGCTTCTGCCTGTACTGTATCACTAGACCACTCGATGCGCGATGCATCTTGACAATGACGTCTTGCTCCGGTGTTGTGGTCGATAACATCACCGTCGACGATGCTCCCGTCGTCGCCAGTTGCCACTTGCTTATCCGCGGTCGGCGGTTGGACGGATTTGTGCGGAGACATTACCTTTGGGAGGGACTTGGCGAGTTCTCCCCCAAACAGTCACGACGATGATGATGACGATGATATCGTCAACCTCATCGATTGATCACTCTCTTGACATCCACACTCCAAGTCCTATACCCAAAACCCTACACCTTATTCAACCATGTCCCTCTCGAGCAAGCTCACCATCACCGACGTCTCCCTCAAGGGCGAAAAGGTCCTCATCCGGGTCGATTTCAACGTTCCTCAGGACAAGAAGACCAACGAGATCACTAACCCTGCTGTGAGCCAGAACTCCAGGGTCTTGCTTTATGCAGGTGCCATATAAATAGGAAAGCACAGCTGATGATTTTTTGTTTGGGAACGTCGACATTGTAGCGAATCGTCGCTGCGTTGCCTACCATCAAGTATGCTATCGAGCAAGGCGAGTCCTATAACCCGGCACGTGCTTTCGAGTCTTGCGTATACTAATAATAATATACCGTTTACGTTCACTATGGGATTCGTTATCACTATACTGATCACACAGGCGCCGCCTCGATCGTCCTGATGTCCCACCTGGGCCGACCGGACGGTCACAAGGTCGAAAAGTACAGCTTGAAGCCTGTCGTACGTTCGGGTCCATATTTCCATTTCTTTCTTTCTACCTCGTTGTCATTCTACTCTACTCTACCTATTCCTGATATCCTGATGCTTTCGTTCTGGTTGACTGACACGACACAACCTCGCTTCTTCTTCCTCAACCTCTCCTCACACACTATACATCCCACCCTACATATCCTAACGCCTAACCCCCTTGCCTGCCCCAACGTCACAATCGCAGGCCGACAAGCTCTCCGAACTCCTCTCCAAGCCGGTGACCTTCCTGCCGGACTGCGTAGGCAAAGAGACCGAGGAGGCCGTCAAGAACAGTAAAGATGGAGAGATCTTTTTGCTCGAGAATCTGAGGTTCCATGCCGAGGAGGAGGGGTCTAGCAAGGATAGTGAGGGGAAGAAGGTTAAGGGTGAGTCGAGAATCGCGTGTTTTTCGTTTACTTGATGTGGAGGACGTTTTCCGCATCTACTTGAATGGACACTGGGATTGACGCTGACGCTCTCGCTCATCATCCACCTTCACCTCGACGAAATATCATCGCCCTGCCAATCCCACACGTCGCTTTATAGCCGACAAATCCGCCGTCGAAGCGTTCCGCAAATCCCTCACTTCCCTAGGATCGATCTACATCAACGACGCCTTTGGGACCGCCCACCGAGCGCACTCGTCCATGGTCGGCGTCCAGCTGCCTAAACGTGCCGCAGGGTTCTTGATGAAGAAGGAGTTGGAGTTCTTCGCCAAGGCGCTAGAGAGCCCGGAGAGGCCGTTTTTGGCCATCTTGGGTGGGGCCAAGGTTCAGGATAAGATCCAGTTGATCGATCACATGTTGGATCAGGTGAGGAGTCGTCGTTGTCGTTCAACGGGAATTTTCTTTTTCTCTTGCGAACCGTATGAACTGACTGAAACCGACGTCCCCGTATGTGAACGCCGCGCCGCAGGTCAACTCGCTCATCATCTGCGGAGGAATGGCCTTTACCTTCAAGAAGATCGTCGACGGCGTCGAGATCGGCAAATCGCTCTTTGACGAGGCCGGCGCTGAAAAGGTCAAGGACTTGGTCGCCAAGGCTAAGAAGAACAATGTCGAGCTCGTCTTGTGAGTATATACGTTCACGGCAGAGGAAGGGGGATGTGTTTCGGGGAGAAGGTGTGATTTTGATGAACGATCACTGTGCTCTATGTGAAATCGTTCTGTTTGCCTCTAGCCCCGTTGGTAAGCACGCGGCATGATATACCTTTGATCGTTGATCTCAGACTTATCCCTTCATGTACGACGCACAGACTACGTCACCGCCAAGGACTTTTCCAACGACACCGAGCGTGGTACCGCTACCGACGCCGAGGGTATCAAGGCCGACTGGCAAGGGCTCGACTGTGGTGAACAGTCCAACAAGCTCTTCAGGGAGACCGTCTTGAAGTCCAAGACCATCCTCTGGAACGGACCCGCTGGTGTCTTCGAGTGGGTCCCGGGATAGGTATTGCGGTGTTTGAGAAAGAGTGAGCTGATGAGAGGTGGACGATCGGGGCAGGTTCTCCAACTTTGCTGGAGGTTCGCTCGCCCTCTTGGACGCTGCCGTCGAGGCCCAGAAGAACGGATCGACCGTCATCGTCGGAGGAGGTGACACCGGTGAGTCGGGCCACTAGCTCTTTCAGATCGAGTTGAACCCCAAGCTGAACCGTATTTCCGCTGTGTATACGCGCCTTCAGCCACCTTGGTCGCCCAGCAAAACGCCGAAGACAAGCTCGCTCACGTCTCCACTGGAGGTGGTGCCAGGTCAGTCTCCGCGTTCGTACTCCCCCCCATATGCTCAGCTGGCTGATCGTCCGCCCGACCTATAGTTTGGAGCTCCTCGAGGGAAAGAACTTGCCCGGTGTCGCCGAGCTCTCGGAGAAGAGCGCTTGAGCGGATCCGTCGTCCAGGCCGAGATTGCGCTTTGTCGAACAGGTTGCGAGGAGGTTCTCACGGGAGTGTGGTAGACGATTGCGTGAAAAGAAAAAACCAATAGATTAGTTTTGCAGGATTGTTGACCGTCACTTGTCAGATGTCAGATGTCGTATGTGATATGTCAAGGTCCACGGAATTTAGCCTGGCTGTGGGAATGTCTTGTGGGAGATGGGCGTTGTCGAAAGAGGAGAGGTCGATGGTCTTCTTTCTGGCTGTTGTATCGTTTTTCGGATATGAGCGCGCCAGCTGGTGCCCAAAGTTTCGAAAGTCGACGAAAGTTCAAAGGCTCCGACCTCTCAGGACATCATCACATATCGACAACATCGCTTTGAAAGACAAGCCAATCAACTCTATAGCTCCTGCCTCGAGCCAACTACACTGTCCCCATCATAAACTCGGTCCTCCCACGTCACCTCGTCGCCAGCGTCCTCGGCAAGATGCCTAAAGCACCCAAAGTCCCTCAATTCCCGCTCAACGGGTTGGTCGGGATCGAGAAACCTTCAGGGCCGACGTCGTGAGTCCGCCTAGTTCGATCCCTTGCTACTGCACATTATGTTTCCAGAGATTGATGGTCTGGTGCGGATGTTTTCTATGTTCGATTGCGATGCTGCTGCATAGGATGAGCATCATCGATAGCATCAAACCGCTCCTCTGTGAATCGAAATTCTTCCTCCCGCCGAATACCAACAATCACACCAGGGCTGATGCTAAAAAGATGATGAAACGCAAGGGAGGGCTCAAGGTCGGGCAAGGGGGGACCCTGGATCCGTTGGCCGATGGGGTGTTGGTTCTGGGGATCGGGAGGGGTACCAAGCATCTGGGCCAGTTTTTGGAGTGTACCAAGGTGAGCAGCCAAGACAAAGAGGTCGGACAACCCGATGCTGATTGTAACGGGACGGCGTTGGCTAGTCTTATACGACCGTCGGACTTTTGGGATCTTGCACGACCTCGTTCGACTCGGAAGGAGAGATCATCTCGACGGCTCCTTATGCTCATGTCACCCGGGAAACGATCGAAGGCGTGTTGGACAGGTTTAGGGGAAATATTTATCAGATGCCACCGATGTCAGTCCAACTACGACTTCTCACGATTTCTCTTGATGGACCCTTGTTGACGCGGTGTGTGAATGATCGTTTCCTGAACCTCGCAGCTACTCGGCATTGAAGATGGACGGGAAACCTTTGTATGAATACGCCAGGGAGAACAAACCTCTTCCCCGAGCGATCGATCCGAGGGCGGTGACCGTCTCCGAGCTCGTACTGGAAGAGTTCACACCCGCTCAAGTCGTCGAGGGGGACGGTGGACATACGTATAACCCGCCCGTCAAGCATCTCAGCGAGGAAGAGGTCGCTACTTACCGCAAGCTGACCGAGTTGACCAAGACGGCGGCGAGTGGTCAGGCGGAGGGGTTGATGGATATCCCCGCTGCTGATGCCGAAGTCAAGGCAAAGGAGGACGCTCAACATGGCTCATCGACCGTGACCCAGGTCAAACCTCCTACATTCAAACTCCGCATGACCGTCAGTTCGGGAACTTATGTCCGCTCGATCGTACACGATATCGGACTCGCCATCGGCTCTGCAGCACACGTCGTCAAGCTCACTCGAACCCGTCAAGGGCAATTCACCCTCGAGCCCGAGTCTACGGAAGCGACGCGGGAAGAAGACTTTTTCGTCTACGACGAGGACGGTCCGGACAAGTTTGATTTCGGCGAACGTAAAGGCGGGGTCATCTCGTGGGACGTCATGGAGAGGGCGATCAAACAGCGCAAAGCCGAGATCGAGGAGGAACACGAGAACGAGCAAAAGATCGCTCAGGGCGATGTCGATGAGGAGGAGCTGTTGGCGAGCAAGCCGGATAATGGGAAATGGCGACCGAAAGAGTGGGAGCGAGAGTTTTTCGCGAGGTTCGTCTCGAAGGATTAGACTTGGGACGATGCGGGGGTGTATGAGATGTAATCAAGACCAGGCGGAAATACAATGCGATGAAAGCACAGTCCAACTGTCTACTGCTGCTGCCCACCGTTTTGCCCGTTATCGCCGCCGTTATTGTTGTTGTTCTGCGGCGACTGCTGATATGGCATGCCCATTCCCATACCCATCATTCGAGCCGCAAATGCCGGGTTGAAAGCCCCCTGAGGCGCGCCGCCTTGCTGGAATTGCCCTCCGAAACCCTGCTGACCTTGCTGCATAGGGTTAAAGTAGAACGGCATCTGAGGCATGCCCATCCCGTGTCCAGGTTGACCCTGCCAGCCGTAGGGCATGCCCATCATCGCCTGTTGTTGCGGCTGATACTGTTGCGGTTGCTGCATCTGCATCATCGGGTTGACGTGACCGTAATGCTGATGCTGCTGCTGCTGCATGGCCGGGGCCGACATGGGCTGCGCGATGCCAGTGCCTTGGGGCAACATCGGAGCTTGGCTCGTTGCTCGAGCGATCGCCAGCGACGTGGGAGACATGTCGCGAGATCGTTCGGGACCGTTGCCGGCACCACCGTGAGAGGAGACCGGTAAGCCGAACCCTCCTTGCCCTCGTCCGCGTCCACGACCACTACCCTGTCCGATCTGCCGTCCGCCGTCTTGGTTTCTGGTCGCTCCACCTCGAGCGCTACCTCGATCCCCTCCCCGGCGCGCTCCTCCACGAGGCTCTCCTCGTCCCCTACCACGCTGCTGATCTCGCTCACCTCCTCTAGGCCTTGCATCGGACACCGGTCCGCCTCGTCCTCGTCCCCGAATCGCACCTCCCCTCGCGCCTCGCCCGCTTACACCAGTTGATTGACTCTGATCCGCCGACCCAGACGGAACGATATCGTCGTACCGCACAGGACCCGTTCGACCTCCCCTCGTACTCACGGTCGACATGCCCGCCATCGATCGACCATCGTCCTCGTCGCGAGTCTCTGGACCCTGCGCATAGTCGAGGAATTCGCTGTCGTCTTCGATGTCGACCTCGGCTCCGGCGTCCCAGTGTCGTGTCTTGGCTGCCGGGGCTCTACCACGTTTGGTGCTCTAATCAGTGGCGGACTTATATCACGACTCGAACACAACCCAACTCACTTGCCCTTCCCTGCCTTGCGCTGCCTCTTGGCTTCCCTCTCTGCCTCGTCGTCACTCCACTCTCGCTCGCTCTCGCTGACCTCTTCGTCGTGCAAATTGCTAGCGTCGGTCCCCTTGTACCGCTTGTCCGTCCTGAGCATGCGTACGGGGACAAACGACCGGTTACCGCTGGCGGGATAGTAGACGTGCTTGCCGATCGTCAATTCCGAGGCCGTCGGAAGAGGGTATGGCGCCGGCGGTAGCCGCAAGAGGTAGAATGGCTGAGAAAGCGGTCCAAACGTTTCGGCGACCTGGAGAATGAGGCGGGTTGATCAGCGTTTCGTCTCCGGGAGGACGATTTTCTCGACATACCACTGCCAACACCCGTCGGTTCTCCAGACATATCAGACTGCCTTCTTCCAACCACCCTTCATCGTCCCCAATCCTCAACCCGCCGATTCCAGCTTCACCCAGAGGCGGCCTCAAAGCCTTGATGATGATCGTCCCCGAACTCTTGGCGAGCTGCTTTTGTTGCCTCTTTTCCCGTTGTTTCGTTTTGGCGTCCTTTTTCACCGGTTTCGGTTTGTGATCGGCGGCGGTGGCGGCGGGTTCGGGCTTCGAGTCCTGGTCGGTCGTCGAAGGGTCGAGTGGAGACTGGGCGATCTCCGGTTTGACTTCCTCTTCAGCTTTTGCCTGATCCGTCTTGGCTTCGACCGCGGCGTTGACATCCACCTCTACCTCTACCTCGGGCTCGACCTTGACCTCCATCTCCGCGCCCACCTCCGGCTCATGCTTGACCCCGGCAATTAACAAGACGCTCATGATCTCTCCAGCTAGTACCAGCCTCTCCCCATCTTTCAACATTTCCACTTGCGGGACCACCGCTCGATCGTCTTCGAGCTCATGCTTCGTCTTTGGAGGTACGCTGGGACCCGCAGCACCGGCCTCTTCGTCAGACTCGTCTTCCATGTCCATCAGGTCGATCTTGCCATCTTCGTCCTGGGAAGAGCTCTCCGAGACGGACTCTTGGTCGTCATCATCATCATCGTCATCGTCTTCTTCGTCGTCTTCGTCCTCGCTCATGAGCTCAATCGTAGCTCCCTGTGGCACGGCAAGACGAGTCGGAGCTAGAGCTTCCTCGTCCCCGTCGCTATCGCCACCATAACCCAGCCCCACATCCACCGCACCTTCTTCCTCCAGTTCGTCCGAATCCGCGGTGATGTACCCCTCACCATCCTCGTTTAGTCCTTCATCGTCATTCGAGGTAGAGGTGTAGAAGGTGGTAAGCTGGGCCATGAGCCTGTCCCGCGTAGCTTGTGACATTGGGGTGTTGGTGGTCGGTCCTGAGGGTGGAATTTGGATGGAGGATGAGTCGGAATCGGAGTCGGGGTCAGAGTCTTCCTCGCTGTGATGATATATGGATGATCGGCAGAGAAGAGACAGGAAGGGAAAAGGATAAAAACGATAGAGATGAAGAGGGATCAACCAGAAACAAACCGACGTCAGTATTGATCTTCTGCTCGTCTCAACAGAATGAGAGATCCAGAATTTAAGCAACAGGACGACTCACGCTCCGTCTTCACTTCCGCTCCCCGCTTCTACTTCCACTTCCACCTCAACCCCCGGTTGACCCTGTGTACTACGGTCGGCCACTGACAAAGCTGCCAAGTCGTTGCCATTCGTGACCATGTTCATGATCAACTCTAGGTCTTGCGGGATAGGTTGCGCGGTGGTCGTCGAGCTCGAACTCGGGCCTGCCGTCGCGTTCGAGATGGGTACCACGGACGATGCTGGTACGGCGGCTTCAGGTTCTATCACGGATTTCGGATTATTCGACTCCAAAGGTTCTCCCACGATGTCCATCTCGGCTAGTGTCGAGATCTGTCCGACCTCTCCTACGTGAACGGGCGAGACTCGTTCGGCCTGCATCTCTTCGCGTTCCTGCTCCCCCGTTCGCGTTTCTTGCTTGTCGTCCATCAACGTTTGATAATTGCGGTGGTTTCCGACGGTCGTCAGCTTCTTAGATGAAGACAAGAACTATTGCGGTGATACAGGTTTTTTTGGTCCGCTTCTGTACTCGTGTGCACCTGCAAGTCTCGATCGAACGAGCCACTTCTGCAGTTTCGCACTTGGCCGGCGACGGAAATTCAGAGTTCGTCCTGAGAAATCACGTGACTCTGACTCAGAGAGCGCTTAAGGGAGGTGTGTCGTCTATGAGTTTGTTATCGGAACCGTCCCATGCTGTCATCTTCTCCATAGTAGCTAATTCAGGCTCAAGGTTTGCTCCTGGCGATGGCAGAGCTTAAAGTCCAAACGCCCAATGTATGTCGAGTGAAGAAGGTCTTGATTACTCGTATACGCGCCAGAAGAGCAATCGAGTGCAATCTATGCATGTTTGTTGTCGCTGCGGCGATACTCCAGATGAATCTTACAGTGCGGTTCGAGCCCAAGGTCTGATTCTTAGTTCACAGAGCAGGTGCTCCCATCTTTTGTGCTGTTTCATGAATCTTTTGACCCTCCTCGCAAGAAATTGTCTCTCCGGCGCTCTTTGCATTTACTGTGGATCGCGCTGAAGAAATGCTCGGCAAGTACAAATCGTGTGAAAATATCGCAACATTCCCTCGTCCTCATCGAGGCATGAAGACCGAGCATATACTAGCGATATGCTCGAACTGAGTACTGCGGCAGTGGGTCATACTGTCTCGAGCTAGGTGTTGGCAGGGTCGGACGGTGCGAGACTACTCATGGGGTCTTGCCGAATTCCAGTTTGTTCATAACTTGACACTCAGAGGGTGAAGTGAGGACGACCGCCGCAGGAAGTAACTTCAGGTCTCGAGGATTTCCTTTCGCCTTGAAACGATGTAGCGATCTCGACGAAAAGTGCTCTGTACTGTAGCGTGAAAGAAGTAGCCTTCTTACGGTTACAGTACTGAGCCGAGGAGTTCTCTATGTCGTCTACTGTACGGAAAGACAATCAGGTTGATTGAGACTTGTCGAGCTCGCGACTCGTTTTCTTTGTATCTTTGTTCTCCTGCCTCCCAATCAACGCTGCTTTATCATGATGAAACCTGAAACTCGCAGCCAGGAACTCTTTCGATCGGCCCAAATGATTAGATCCTTGCTCAGTGGAAGCTAGTAGGGCCGGATCTCTATCGGAGCTGCAAAGATGGTGCTGAACGTGTAAAGTTTTTCGTAAGGCTGCGTCAATCATTGCTGTACGCTGTGATCGTAAACGCTGCGAAAGATCCGCACGATATCACAGCAGCCTAACGACCTTTTCGCCCTGCATGCTCGGCGATTTTCCTTCTCGCTCGGCTTCGGTTCCCGCGCCCAGGGTTTCAGATTTTCGAACGATCCACCTCGAGTCCGAAACCCTCGTAGAATTGCTTGCTGCCTGCTGCTGTGGCGTTGCTGTGACGATGATCATGACGAGGACAGCTCGGGTACTCCCCGACGACATTATTCTCGCAGGCTGTGCAGAGGTCGCTGCGTCTGACCGAAGCCGAGCAGCGAGCAGCGGGAAGATGGAGACAGGTCGGAGGTTTCGCTCTCTTTCTCTGTTAGCGCGCAAGGGCGATCGCTATTTCGAGCTCAAAAGTTGGACGACTCTCCCGCCGAAGATCAACAAACAAATCCAGAAACGGACGACGTCTCCTTCTCTTCCTCTGGCAATCCCCACCTAGCTTCGGCTTGTACCATCACACACAGCCAACCCCTACACCGCTGTTGGCAGGGGTCCCATGCGTTGCGTGTCGTCCGCACGGTTCTCAACCGAACTAGCGATCAAAACATGAGGTCCATACACCTCGCTAGTGGGATTGCTATGCAGTTTCTCATATACGATTCAGTCTAGGTCGGACTAAACAACACTGCATTCGACTCTTCAGGGTGTTTAGTACATTTTATCCTTCGTCTGCGTCCCAACTCTTACGACTACATATAACACAGTGAATAACAACCTTGACACCGAGATCGAGAAACGAGAAAGCTATAATCCCCCCTCTCATTTCTTTATCCTTCTACATCTTCTCGATAATCGACAGAGAAACCCAAACTCAAACACATAAATACCAACTATATACAACCACCACGACCCCTCGGACACACGCCCACCAGCTCGAATCTATTCTACCATGGTCCGACCGACCTCTACGCTCTTTAGCCTCAACATCTCTCCTTTGGCAGCCGTCACGCTCGTCCTCGGATCCTGCGTCTTGCCCGGTGCCAACGCTCGAGCCTCTCACGTCGGCCGAGGCTGCAACGGCGAACACCTCGCCAAACGCAACCCTTACCTCTTTCCCGAAGAGTCGTCTTCCCACTCTCCGCTTCTCAAACGACAAGACGCTGCAGGATACTCGCCGGACAACCTAGACCCCGTCTCCCAGTGCACGGGGTACTCTTACCAGCCCGTACTGGATAACAAGGCCAATTTCCCGACTATTTGGGATACGGCGCAGCTCGTACCCGGGGATCAGGAGGCGGCGGATGAGTTGGCGAAAGCTGTGGCCGAGGTGAACAGGTTGGCACCGAACATCTCGGTCAAGGGGACCTTGAATGGGGATTTCTGTGAGTGGCGTCGCATCGTCTTGCAGTTCATCATATCCTTCGCTTGCAAGCCTCGCCCGCTGACCAAACGTGTCGTCGTCTCTTGCTCGTTCGTCATCGTAGCCAGCTTCACCCCGACCTACCCTCCCTCGGACCCGGACTGTTGGTGGACGTACCGTCAATGCGACACACCCTCCAACACCGAGATCCCCGCAGACGTCATCGAGATGCCCGAACCGTCGACTTATGGGATCGGGTTCGACGATGGTCCGAACTGTAGTCATAACGCGTTTTATCAGCATTTGAAGGATAGGGAGATCAAAGCGACCATGTGAGTGCGAAGAGGTGTGGGGTGATACAGTAGAGTGAAAGTCCGAGCAGGCGGGGCTGATTTGCAATTGAACGTTGGTGCGGCATTGCAGGTTCTACATCGGTTCGAACGTCATGAACTGGCCTAAACAGGCTCAGCGGGGTTTGAGCGATGGACACCAGCTCGCCGTTCATACTTGGTCTCACCAGTCAGTCGTCTCGTCCCCAATCGAGTCGCTAGCACTTCACACGACTGATACCTCTTTCCACTCCCGACTCGTCCGTGCAGATACTTGACGGCCATGACCAACGAACAAGTCTTTGCCGAGCTCTACTACACCCAGAAAGCCATCAAGCTCGTCACCGGCGTCACTCCGGTTCACTTCCGACCTCCCTTTGGGGACATCGACAACCGAGTCAGGGTGATCGCCAAGTCCCTGAACTTGACCTCGATCTTGTGGGAGACCGATTCGGACGACTGGAGGATCAACACCGGGAACCCGCCGGTCACTTCGGATCAGATCGATGCCAATTATCAGAGCGTGATCGATGCCGCCAAGAATGGGAGTTATAACACCAGGGGGACGATCATGCTCACCCACGAGTTGAACAATTTCACGATGAGCGAGGCGATCAAGTTTTTGCCCGACCTTCAGGGGGCGTTTCAGCATGTCATTACGGTCGCGCAAGGGTTGAACGTTACGCATCCGTATGTCGAGCAGAACGTCACGTGAGTACGAGTTTTGGGAGAAGGTTGTGGTTAATTGAGAGGATTAGTAAGCTCATCCATTGTCCGACTCGCTTTATCGTCGTAGTACCCCCGCCTTTGACGGATCTGCTGTGACGGGCAACGCCACGTCGTCTTCTGCTTCTTCGAGTGCCGCCGCTTCGAGCGCCGCGACCGGATCTAGCACTGCGACCGGTAGCAAGGCCGCCGCCTCGTCTGCCGGTGCCGCTACCGACGCAAGCAAGACCGGTTCCAACACTGCGCCCGCTAGTACCGCCTCTCGAGCTTCTTCGTCGAACGACAACAAGAGCAACTCGGCTTCGTCCTCGTTGATGGGACCTTCGGCCGTCTCGTTGGTCCTGGTCGGAGCGGGGATCGTGCTGGCTAGCCTCTAAGGTTTCGCAGGCTCTGTCGTTACTACATGGCTTATATATACTATGTATAATGTAGGATTTAGACAGGTGCTTTTTGCTTTATGCTCTGACACGGACACTTCTATATGACGATGAGATGACGATGACAATGCTCTAATCGACATTGAGGGTTGTTTGCCACCGGTCGAGATCGCGGACATCTTGTTGCAACGCCCGCGCGGACATGAGGGTGAATCAGCCACAGCCATGTCGATGCGCTCTTCTCCCAAGTTACCACTACTTACCACCACCACTACTCTATTACCGTATGGTCCTTTGTCATTCCTGCATCCTGATATATCAACTCTCATCTCCCCAATAGGTGACATGGGACCTACTCTACCCTGCTAGTATCATCGGTGGTGACCCTTCTCGGTATCCTCTTCACTCGCCTCGTCATCCCCACACACTCACTACTCCTGGCGGTCAGAAGCTCGTATCCAGCAGCCAGAGCTACAGGTCGCGCAATGTTCGGATCTCTACAATGGCCATGGGCAACATCCAGCCGAATTCCCACTCCTCGATCATCCACGACAGCGTCAGCAAAGTTTCATGCACATCTCGAGGCGGACGACATCGACAAGCTCTACAAGGAACTGCGACGCGCTCGGCGGCTTGACCTGCGATACACAGCGCCCCCTGATTATCATGTGGAGGAAGCCGAGTCCAGAAAGACCTGGAGCTACACATTGTCCCGGCTGATTATCGGAAAACTGGAAGAATATCAGCTCAGAAAAGCCCTCGCTGCGATCGGGTCCGTCAGTTCGGCCGAGAAATTCTTGCATATACAGGACGCTCTCTCGACGACGCTCATGTATGGACCCGACATCGATCTCGTAGAGTATGCCGAATCGAGAATCGCGCTCGAACTCCCTGCCGTCCGTGCCGAGGCCGACGAGTTTCGACAGAGGATCAGGATCGGCCTGCCACGAATGATGACGCACGGGTCGTTGGACTACAATCCTCCGATACGAGAGTGCCAGGACCTTCGCTCAGCGTGTGCCATCGAGTACAGGAAGACCAGAAGCGAGGTGCGCCCGTCAACCCTAGAGTGGGTCTCGATCTAGGCTGACCTCGTCATGTTCAGTCTCTCGCGCAGATCGTATCTCACATCCGAATCGCACACGCTCTCGATGGTACTCTCTATGGACTCTCTCTGCATGGCAATCAATGGTTCAGACCGTTCCAGTACACAGGTCAGGACGAGATCACTACCTGGATCCTCAGAGGCGACGAAAGGTACTTTTACAACCACGGCCTCGTGTCGACAGACGGCATGTTCGAAATCCCGATCGAGACGGCCTACAAGGTTTTTCGGGAGAATCCATTCGGCATGTTCGCTTTCAGGTTGTCACCTTTGCTTCCAGACCACGCACACATTGGCCAAACTAAAGTCCTGATCCGCTTCGTGGCTAGACTGTGTTGTGACCTCTTTGAGTTGAGGGAGCAGCAGGCGAGTCATGACCATGCCGATATACCTGTCGATACGCTCGTCTGGCCAGACAATGGGCCGTTCGAGGTCGATCCCACGCTGGCGACACGGGTCGTTATCACCGGGGTCACGATCGAAGCCGTCACACCCGTCGTCGAGAGGAGAAACGCAAGAGAAGCGGGTCGCAATGCGTGTGGCGATCGTCGAGCCGGGCAGGAATGTCCAAACACTAGGAAGAGGAAAGCACCGTCGACCAGCAAGACTTGGGATTCAGCGGGCCACGCGCGGACACGCAACAGAGGTTGGAAGGGATACGGGCTGGAGGGATACGAAGGTACCGTATATTCGAATGACACGTCGATAGACACGCCAGCGGACTCGGACTCGGAAATGTCGTGGCGGACCATCGAATCGATTCGGGATATGCCCGTGGTACCCTTGTCGATACACGGATGGCGGCAACAGGTCGGGGCGCTCGAACAGGAAGATCCTGCGGCGGTCGACGATGAGCAGTCGGATCCGGGCGATGAAGAGCGATCGGACGACGAGTGACGGGTATCTTTCTCTCGGTGGAACGCATCTTGCTCGTCTTTTGCATCAAAGTCGCAAAAAGAAGAAAGAGAACGCCTTGCTCCCCTAAGTCCGGCTGGATTCGCGAATCTAAAATCAACGGCTTGTTCAACGGGGAAGATCATCAAATACAGATAGACTTTGGCCCTCGGATCGTACAATGAGCTGGAATTGACGGTCACCGTCCCGATCAATCCCGATGGTCACGAATCAAATACAATTACCAAAATCTACCCGGCTTCCGGTTTAACCTGGACGCAGCGCCACGAGCTCACGGTACTTTACTATCCTCGTCACGACCGGAAGACATTTGAGAGGATAATTCGATAGAAATGCAGGAAACATGATATAACCTCTTTTCTCGCCTCTCGGGACGAACGTGATTCTCCGCCAAGCTGTCCGGATCGGTTCCTGTCGAGAACGACAGCGATGCGTTACAAAACGAAGACATGACTATTGTACAACACGAAGACACGATCCTTGGACCGGAAGACTCGTCAGGGCGACTACCGCCAAGATCAACGGCACCGAAGTTTCAAATTCCGACGATTCATGACAATCTTGCCGATGACGACCGATCCGCGCGAATCAGTATCCTGAAACGCTGCGTCTTTAAAGTCGAGCTGCATAGGACATATCTTCAAGGTCTCTTGAGCTCGGGAAATTGCGAATGGAATGCGAGATCTACGAGCAAGCGGATTCCTATCAAAGAGTGACGACCATGTCGATGGATCGATCAGCGAACAGGAACACACGCTTCACGACTGCGATCTTCGGGAGGAGACAGACGTCTTCGGCTTTTTCGAGCTCGAGTTGCGACGTTCGATGCCTCTTCTCCAAGTACAGGGATCTCTTTCTCGGGCTGGGTGTCGGGTCAAGTCGGAATCGCAATCGCATCGGATCGGGGGTCTCGGCGTATCACACTCCTCGCACTCGGCCGAGAGATCTTCTGAAGATGCGGATTGGTACGAAGATGACGATCACGCGGAAGCCTTGCCCTTCATCCAGTATGTCTTGGTACGATAATGCTAATGCCTGACCTGATGCTCTGTGAAAGCACGACACGATGTACGATCCGATTTAATGCGATACGATAGACAACATGCAACACGACGCAAGTTTCGATACGAAGAACAACATGAGAAATAAGGGGACACGCAAAATTAGATGAGGAATCGAAGAAGAGCGCGGATAACCGGCGACGACGTCTAAAACATGATGATGCCTTACGTCTACTCTGGCTAATGGTAGAACCTGCCACAACCCGAGGCCTGAGCAGGAAGTGAGAATGAGAAGAGTAGGGTTCCGCTGGTTTTGGAAGAAGTGTAATGAGACGAGAGGCGAGAGGCGAGGTGATGGATCGCAATATTCTAATCAATCCAATAATAATACGACGATGGAGAGATGCGAGAGTTGCGTTTTCAAGGATGCGAGAAGGTGTGAGGTTGGGATGGGGAAATCGGATTCAGAGGTGTGTAGATGAGCTTTCTTGCGAGTGATAGATCAGGAGACGGGAGTCATGATGCAATAATGATATGGATATATGGTATGACCGAGATGTAAGATGTACGATGAGCGATTTAGACTGCGGTTCGAACGTGCTGGTTGAGACATGTTGGTTGGTTGACAACGGGAAATGCACGTTGGCCATAACCAGATCCCTGTTCAATCTCAGGCCGTAGTATATCATTGTAGTTCGATCCAAAGTCGATTTCGATCTCCCTCTCAATACTAAATTTTCGACCAGCCAAAGTGCTCCCCCTTAAAACCCGGGAAGAGGAACGGACTTGGCACCTTATCTTGTTGGCGAGCGTACTCTAGTCTTTCTGTTCACTTTCAACGTTGGTTTCAATAGGTTCAGGCGTTGGAATAGACGTGGGATGTGGGCATCGCCTCGTACGTACAGCATAAGAATCAAAGTGGGATGAGACAAGACGAGGATGTCTTGTTGAGCCGGAAGATGAGCCGTTGATTTCCTTTCATGCAGCAAGTCGTTTAGCAGGGGGCGATCTTAGCGAGTCGAGGGTCCAGGATCTCAACAGCTGAATACGAGCTAATAGTCTTGGTCTTGGTCTTCTGGGCATCAGACGAGGAAGGGTCGTCCAAGAGCTGCTTGACAGATTGATGGATCTTGGTAAGAAGCCTAGATCTGTACAATTATCGTAGCAATTAGCAATGAGATGGTTCGATAACGGCGTTTCCGATTGTCACGGATCACGGACGATGAGAAATGGGTTCGGGTGACCTTTCTATCTGACCTCGTCGCAACAAGAGCGGGTTGTGATGAGCATAGGGCAGATGGGCAGATGGGCAGATGATATATATAGAGGAGAACGGCTTGCGTTATGGGCTCTCTGGGTTCTCTGGGATTCACGAGCTACTGCTATTGCTGTTATTGCGGACTGCTTGTTCAACGTCGAATTATACACCTCGAGCTACGATCGACCTGAACTACAGGGTCATTTGAGATCTCGGAACGTTCGGACCGACAGAATAGACCTCGAGGTTATCATCGACCAATCACACAGACTACCTCCATCGATCCGAGGACCGCAACGCCGTCGTTATCGCACACATCCGTATCTGACCGCCCACAGAGCCACAGTAGCCCAACGGTAGTAATTCATCGCTGCTAGCTGCTCTCTCCCGTCGTCATCGTCCTCGCATCGCCGAACATCGCCCCCCTTCTCGGCCGAAAAACGACGCAGAGAGACCACGTTGACTCGATCGAGATCCCTCCTTCCTCCTCTTCCTCTCGTCCCCGTCAACTCCGGTGCAATTCAAACTCTCCGACACTCAACTCTCACACTACGACGACGACACACGGAGTCTCTCGATCCGGTAACCCCGTAGCCCCCGTAGCTCTCACCGGTTGATTTAGTATCGCAATAACCTACAGACCCCCGGGACCTCGTCTACTCATCATCACCAACCTCTAAACTCGCCCATCATGTTGCTCTCAACTTCGACCCGTATCAATCATCTCTCTCGGATTCGATTACCTTCTTCAATCATCGCTACCATCTCGACAACATCCTCATATCGATCGTTATCTACGAACAATCCTACCACCACCAGCGCCAACACTATGCTCACCCCACCTCCAACCCCAAAACAACCCCGCTCCAACCTTCCCGGATCGAACAACACTAAACCAGGACGCACGTTGACGCTGGATACGATCCACAAGTCGATCCTCAATGTGGAGTATGCGGTCAGGGGCGAGTTGGCGATCAAGGCGGACAAGTATACGCAGATGCTCAAAAGCCAGCAGGGCGAGCAGGGCGAGCAAGGGGGGAAGGATTCGGGTTTGGGAGGGATGGAGAGTAGGAACGGGGAAAAGGGAGAGGGTAAGGAGAAAGATGGGAAAGATCACGGGGATTTAGGGGAGCGATTGCCGTTCGACAAGGTCGTCACGGCCAATATCGGGAATCCGCAGCAGAGAGGGTTGGACCAGAAGCCGATCACTTTTTGGAGGCAGGTGAGTTTTGGCGTGGGCGTGTGACGTGTGACGTCTTAGGGGTTAGATGTGATGAGGTCTGGTGATGGTCTGACAGCGTGTTGATCGTTGGTTTGATTTGTTTGCATCGTTTCGATCTTGGTCCTCGACCTTGGATCTCGATTCTCGATGTCTCGCCCTGATTGCCTTACCATCCCCGTCTCTCTCCATCATACGTATCATATCCCCGTATCGATCTCAACCACTCAACCACTCAACCACTCAACCTCTCTCAACCTCGTCAACTCGGCTCGGGCAGGTCATCTCCCTCCTCGAATACCCCGACCTCCTGTCCCACCCCCTGACCCCGCAGATCTACCCGGTGGATACGATCGAACGTGCCAAGAAGCTTTACGCGGAGATCGGGAGCGTCGGGGCGTATACGCATAGTAAGGGAGTCAAGGAGATTAGGGAGAGGGTGGCCAAGTTTATCGAACGTGAGTCCGACTTTGATGAGATGCGTATGGGACGTGTGGGATGTGAGGGGTAGGTCAGTTGGCTGATCGTGGGCAACGTGTTGTCGGTGGACATGGCAGGCCGGGATGGATTCCCTAGCGACCCGGAACACATCTTCCTCACCGCCGGAGCGTCCGCAGGGGTCTCCCAGTGGCTCAACGTCGCTCTCAGCCCCGGGGACGGCGTGCTCGTGCCCATCCCCCAGTACCCACTCTACACGGCCACCCTCGCCGCGCTCTCCTGCCATCCGGTCCCGTATCAACTGCAAGAATCGTCAGGGTGGAGCTTGTCTCAACCGGTACTCCAGGCGGCGATCGATTCCGTCGACAGGGACAAGACCCCCATCAAGGCCCTCGTTGTCATCAACCCGGGTAACCCGACGGGAGGGTGTCTGGAGGAAAAGGACATGAGGGAGATTGTCAGGATGTGTCATGATCAGGGGTTGGTCCTCATGGCCGACGAGGTCTATCAGACGAACATCTACTACCCCGAGACCAAGCCGTTCGTGTCGTTTAAAAAGGTGCTCAGGACAATGGAGCGGGAGCAAGACGGCGAGAACCCCATTACCCCGGGCGTCATCGAGTTGATCTCTTTCCACTCGTTGTCCAAGGGGGTCTCGGGCGAGTGTGGTAGGCGCGGGGGCTACTTTGAGCTGGTCAACATTGACGAACAGGTCGTCGACCAGATCTACAAGATGGCCTCGATCTCGCTCTGTCCGCCGGTGACGGGGCAGGTCGGCGTGGATCTGCTGGTCGACCCGCCCAAGCCCGGCGAGCCGTCGTACGCGCAGTTTGAAAAGGAGACCAACGTCACCCACCAGAGCCTCCTCGACCGATCGGCTTACATGTCGGAAAAGTTCAACGCGCTCCCGGGCATGTCGTGTCAAAAGGCCGAGGGCGCGATGTACCTGTTTCCCTCGATCGAGATGCCGGACAAGGCGCTCAAGGAGGCCGAGAAGAGGGGCAAGCCGGCGGACGTCATGTATGCGTTGGATCTGTTGGGTAAGTTCGGGCGGGTTGTGTTGAGTTGTTGAGCGGTGGCTGACGTCGTTTGTTGGTGCTGCTCGCAGACGCCACCGGAATCTGCGCCGTCGCTGGGTCTGGGTTCGGGCAAAAGGAGGGCACGTATCATCTCCGTGTTACCGCGCTCTGCCCCGGTGTCGAAGAGTACGTCGGCAAGATTGAGGAGTTTCACAAGGACTTTATGAAGCGGTATGCGTGAGCGGCGTGCGAAGGTTGGGTGCTGTTTTTGTAATCGTATGATTGTATATAATCGGAACAGGTCGTTTTGAAATCGAGGGCGTGGGCGATCTCTCCAGGTGCCACATCGTTCGTGCTTGTGACAAGATCGCTCGATCTGCCGCCATGATCGCCCACACGGATTTATAACCTGGCCAAGTCCTCCGCACATCGCTATTCTCAGATCCCAGACCCATGCGTTACGACCTCGTATACTGTCTCTGTGACGTATCAAGACTCCGAAACGCGGCCGTTGTGCCTGTCGTCAAGTAGATAATAATATGTTAAATGATGGACAGCCGCCCATATATGATAATCACCATCACCTGGGTCGACGGCGGCATCTCTATTGGGCTACATCCGAACCCACAAATTGAGCGACAAGGAAGAGCTTCTCCTTGTTCACACTGAAGAGATCCGTCATGACGGACGAAAGGGAATTGCAAACCTCGCTGCTGTTCGCTGGTCCACTTGTCGGACATTCAGGCACCGTCTCCGGCTTGAAACTCGGGTAGCCTTATTTACCGCTCCTCGAACTCGAGCATACCTTGGTGGCCACGCCCAGATGCTCCCGAGGGCGAGACTCGGTCCTGCGAACGCCCATCAATTGGTCGGACCCGGTACGGGGAGAGGATACCGAGGTCTTTATGAGGATGTACGGTGCAGCCAAAGGCAAGAGGACGGGGTTGATGCTAGTCAATCCGGAAGGTCAGCTTCGGACAAGATGCAAAAGGTGCGCAGGTCCGGGTGGATCGGGTAATGCTTGCATCAACGAAGCGGTGAGCAGCTCGTTTGCGACCGGTCATGCGGCTGGGACGTCTACTGAATTGAGCGACACGGCAAGAGTCTCGGGTCGTCGACTGGTTGTCACTACGACATTATCGGATTCGACCCGAGGTGATTGCCCAGGCGTTGGCGATTGAAGCCCCTCCTCGAGAAGGCGAGATGCTGTTGTTTTCTACAGGGGAATCGACATGACTCGACCGAGGATCGCCATCGCACCGACCTATTTCGAAAGAGCCATCTTCGAGTCAGGAAACAAGAGCCTTTGGACGACTCGTCATGAACAGTCGAACCATTGTGATGTAGATTTGAGCGGAGAGGATCTGTTTGGACCGGTTCAACGGGTTGAAATTGGTTTTTTGCCCAGGGCCTGAGAGCTGCTGACTTAGCGTGTTTTGTGATGATCCCGAGCGAGTTTGACGTGTTTCTGCAACAACCTGATAGTAGGATGGTGATTTCAGTGTTGCACAATGCTGTAGCAATCTAGGACAGTGTTCAGAGTGATCGCTGAGCTTGTTGCGACGAGGAAAGCACAAGGAAACATGTGAAATTGCTGAAACGTCGAGTTTTGACTTGCGAAGGGGTCAGTGTCGATTGCGTGAGAACGAACGGGTCCTGAGCGGGTAGCGACGTATCCAGCTGTTGTTCAGAGTCATGACACCACCAACAAAGCCATAGGACCCAGCTCTGACCTCGGGTTCACGTCCAATACTAAATTTTCGCAGCCAAAGTGCCCCCCCACAGAACAAGCGGAAGAAACGCAACCCACACTTGTCTATGCAACAGAGAACAGTCCAGGCAATTTCCCCAGCTTGTCCAGACTGCAGACAAGCAAGAACAACCAATGTTATGAGCACAGAGTTGACCGAACACTCTTGACGAATTTCGAAAGGTTTAGCGTGTTTTGTGATGATCCCGAGCGAGTTTGACGTGTTTCTGCAACAACCTGATAGTAGGATGGTGATTTCAGTGTTGCACAATGCTGTAGCAATCTAGGACAGTGTTCAGAGTGATCGCTGAGCTTGTTGCGACGAGGAAAGCACAAGGAAACATGTGAAATTGCTGAAACGTCGAGTTTTGACTTGCGAAGGGGTCAGTGTCGATTGCGTGAGAACGAACGGGTCCTGAGCGGGTAGCGACGTATCCAGCTGTTGTTCAGAGTCATGACACCACCAACAAAGCCATAGGACCCAGCTCTGACCTCGGGTTCACGTCCAATACTAAATTTTCGCAGCCAAAGTGCCCCCCCACAGAACAAGCGGAAGAAACGCAACCCACACTTGTCTATGCAACAGAGAACAGTCCAGGCAATTTCCCCAGCTTGTCCAGACTGCAGACAAGCAAGAACAACCAATGTTATGAGCACAGAGTTGACCGAACACTCTTGACGAATTTCGAAAGGTTTAGCGTGTTTTGTGATGATCCCGAGCGAGTTTGACGTGTTTCTGCAACAACCTGATAGTAGGATGGTGATTTCAGTGTTGCACAATGCTGTAGCAATCTAGGACAGTGTTCAGAGTGATCGCTGAGCTTGTTGCGACGAGGAAAGCACAAGGAAACATGTGAAATTGCTGAAACGTCGAGTTTTGACTTGCGAAGGGGTCAGTGTCGATTGCGTGAGAACGAACGGGTCCTGAGCGGGTAGCGACGTATCCAGCTGTTGTTCAGAGTCATGACACCACCAACAAAGCCATAGGACCCAGCTCTGACCTCGGGTTCACGTCCAATACTAAATTTTCGCAGCCAAAGTGCCCCCCCACAGAACAAGCGGAAGAAACGCAACCCACACTTGTCTATGCAACAGAGAACAGTCCAGGCAATTTCCCCAGCTTGTCCAGACTGCAGACAAGCAAGAACAACCAATGTTATGAGCACAGAGTTGACCGAACACTCTTGACGAATTTCGAAAGGTTTAGCGTGTTTTGTGATGATCCCGAGCGAGTTTGACGTGTTTCTGCAACAACCTGATAGTAGGATGGTGATTTCAGTGTTGCACAATGCTGTAGCAATCTAGGACAGTGTTCAGAGTGATCGCTGAGCTTGTTGCGACGAGGAAAGCACAAGGAAACATGTGAAATTGCTGAAACGTCGAGTTTTGACTTGCGAAGGGGTCAGTGTCGATTGCGTGAGAACGAACGGGTCCTGAGCGGGTAGCGACGTATCCAGCTGTTGTTCAGAGTCATGACACCACCAACAAAGCCATAGGACCCAGCTCTGACCTCGGGTTCACGTCCAATACTAAATTTTCGCAGCCAAAGTGCCCCCCCACAGAACAAGCGGAAGAAACGCAACCCACACTTGTCTATGCAACAGAGAACAGTCCAGGCAATTTCCCCAGCTTGTCCAGACTGCAGACAAGCAAGAACAACCAATGTTATGAGCACAGAGTTGACCGAACACTCTTGACGAATTTCGAAAGGTTTAGCGTGTTTTGTGATGATCCCGAGCGAGTTTGACGTGTTTCTGCAACAACCTGATAGTAGGATGGTGATTTCAGTGTTGCACAATGCTGTAGCAATCTAGGACAGTGTTCAGAGTGATCGCTGAGCTTGTTGCGACGAGGAAAGCACAAGGAAACATGTGAAATTGCTGAAACGTCGAGTTTTGACTTGCGAAGGGGTCAGTGTCGATTGCGTGAGAACGAACGGGTCCTGAGCGGGTAGCGACGTATCCAGCTGTTGTTCAGAGTCATGACACCACCAACAAAGCCATAGGACCCAGCTCTGACCTCGGGTTCACGTCCAATACTAAATTTTCGCAGCCAAAGTGCCCCCCCACAGAACAAGCGGAAGAAACGCAACCCACACTTGTCTATGCAACAGAGAACAGTCCAGGCAATTTCCCCAGCTTGTCCAGACTGCAGACAAGCAAGAACAACCAATGTTATGAGCACAGAGTTGACCGAACACTCTTGACGAATTTCGAAAGGTTTAGCGTGTTTTGTGATGATCCCGAGCGAGTTTGACGTGTTTCTGCAACAACCTGATAGTAGGATGGTGATTTCAGTGTTGCACAATGCTGTAGCAATCTAGGACAGTGTTCAGAGTGATCGCTGAGCTTGTTGCGACGAGGAAAGCACAAGGAAACATGTGAAATTGCTGAAACGTCGAGTTTTGACTTGCGAAGGGGTCAGTGTCGATTGCGTGAGAACGAACGGGTCCTGAGCGGGTAGCGACGTATCCAGCTGTTGTTCAGAGTCATGACACCACCAACAAAGCCATAGGACCCAGCTCTGACCTCGGGTTCACGTCCAATACTAAATTTTCGCAGCCAAAGTGCCCCCCCACAGAACAAGCGGAAGAAACGCAACCCACACTTGTCTATGCAACAGAGAACAGTCCAGGCAATTTCCCCAGCTTGTCCAGACTGCAGACAAGCAAGAACAACCAATGTTATGAGCACAGAGTTGACCGAACACTCTTGACGAATTTCGAAAGGTTTAGCGTGTTTTGTGATGATCCCGAGCGAGTTTGACGTGTTTCTGCAACAACCTGATAGTAGGATGGTGATTTCAGTGTTGCACAATGCTGTAGCAATCTAGGACAGTGTTCAGAGTGATCGCTGAGCTTGTTGCGACGAGGAAAGCACAAGGAAACATGTGAAATTGCTGAAACGTCGAGTTTTGACTTGCGAAGGGGTCAGTGTCGATTGCGTGAGAACGAACGGGTCCTGAGCGGGTAGCGACGTATCCAGCTGTTGTTCAGAGTCATGACACCACCAACAAAGCCATAGGACCCAGCTCTGACCTCGGGTTCACGTCCAATACTAAATTTTCGCAGCCAAAGTGCCCCCCCACAGAACAAGCGGAAGAAACGCAACCCACACTTGTCTATGCAACAGAGAACAGTCCAGGCAATTTCCCCAGCTTGTCCAGACTGCAGACAAGCAAGAACAACCAATGTTATGAGCACAGAGTTGACCGAACACTCTTGACGAATTTCGAAAGGTTTAGCGTGTTTTGTGATGATCCCGAGCGAGTTTGACGTGTTTCTGCAACAACCTGATAGTAGGATGGTGATTTCAGTGTTGCACAATGCTGTAGCAATCTAGGACAGTGTTCAGAGTGATCGCTGAGCTTGTTGCGACGAGGAAAGCACAAGGAAACATGTGAAATTGCTGAAACGTCGAGTTTTGACTTGCGAAGGGGTCAGTGTCGATTGCGTGAGAACGAACGGGTTCTGAGCGGGTAGCGACGTATCCAGCTGTTGTTCAGAGTCATGACACCACCAACAAAGCCATAGGACCCAGCTCTGACCTAACTATATAATATTTGGAACGGACCGTGTTTCGCTAGTAAATTGACGGTCCGTTCCCGCGCGCGAGGCCCTAGGGATCCGACCGTCAGGATCCGACCGTGCGCGGCGGGTAATTTTACCCCCTTGGACTTGCGGGTAATTACCCCCCTCGATCTGGCGGGTAACTTTCCCCCCCGACTTGGCGGGTAACCCTATGACTAGGGGGGTAATTCTCAAGTCGCCGTCCAGACTCACTCGGGGTTACCACTTTCCACTTACAAACTTGCAACTCTCGATTTCACTCTCATGTCTACCCAGTATCTATCGATTCGAAACCCGTCATATTTTACATTCGCCCATGTCTATTTCACCTTTACAAGCAAGTCGGCCCCACGACAGTATACACATAATCATCGTATCCGTCTCTTATCGCACTTCTCTATTATTACTGGCTAAGTCTGCCACTCCCAGTTCTGCGTCATTCCCGCATCCCTCGCGACGTTCTTACTATGATCCTCTTTGATCCACGCCCACAACACCCGCCACTCAACCTCCCACCTCGCTGCCGCTTCCTCTACCGTCTCGCCGGGCTGAACCCACTTCAGGATCGCCTCTTCCATGTAACCCGGCTTGAACCTCTCTTCGAGGTCTTCGTAATTCTCGGGCTCCCTGCAAACCCTTCCCCTCGCGTCCTTCCACACCATCTGCCATCCCCGACCCAGCCTGCCTCTGCACACACCACGATCAGAACTCGCTCCGTTCAACGCTATTTCTCATTCGGTTCCACTCACGCTCCAAATCCCTGCGCTTCCCCGGACTGCTCACTCCCAGCGTCCCCATCCCCTTCGGCCCCTCCCGCTGTCGCCTCCCCCGCCTCGTTCGCCGCATGGAGCTCCTGCCAGTTTTCCGGCGCGAGACCTTCATCCTCACTGTCCGTTTCACACTTCAGATCATCAGCACCTTGCGTTTCAGACGTTCCACAGTCATTCCTATCTATCGACTCACTATTCCTCCTTCACCTCCCTCGACCAGGCACCTTTCCCCACCTCGGGTTCGGTCGACTATAACGTACGTTTGTTTCAGTCAGCCCCGTACCCCTCCGCCGCACCTCTCATATACACTCACATCGAACGTCCTCTCCCTGAAATCCCGCTCGTCTCCGCTATCACCCGCCAACGTCAAATTGGGTCAATGTCGCCTCCTCACTTCCGCAATCACAACAAAGATACTTACTCTTCGGACCTCATATCCGGCCCTTTACGCCCTCCAACTTCCGCTTCAGTCGACTGCGTTTGCATACATTCGTCAGCCGCTGCGACCGTCGAGGACTCGTCTCCAGACTCACCCCGTACGACAGCCCGCGGACATACTTCAAGGGACGTTCGCTACACACCGCACGACTTGAATCAGCTCGATCCTATGCCATACACTCCTTCACCAACTCACGTTGGCTCCATCTTCTCCGACTCTTAGGGGTTAAGTTTGTAAATAGCTCAAAACGTGATATCTGATTTTTCTGATTACTCGTCTGGCTTTTCGCTCGAAGAACGTTCATCCCCCTCGCCAGTACTTATCCTTTTTCCCCTTGTCGTCCCACCCGAAACTTCTAGCCGCTTCGCACACTGAGAAGGTCACGAACGCTAGCCAAAGGACCCCCGTTTTCCTTATCATTCGGGTGGGACACTTCGATTCGAAATAGGGCATCCCCATCTGCTCGCACGTTCGATGATCTGCGCTCTCTTCCTCTTTGTTCAGTTGACCTCTCTCGCTTTCTCGCCATGTTCGTCGCTCGATTCGATATCCACTCCCTAACTCGCAGGTCAGCCGATATGATTCTAATCCTTACCATTCGACGATCAGCACGCCATTGGACTCACCGTCCTGACATTCGCCCCCCCGGCATCGTCATGGTTCCTACTTGGCCGTTATCAAAGTTTCGGATTAGCGAAACCCACCCGCCTCCCTATCCGTCAGATCCGTCAACGAACATTTGCACTTTTGCCCTCGTGACCTCCCTGCACCGTATGAGCGGCCGCTCTGGTTGTTGGTGATACGAGGGCGGATCGAGATGCCAAGAGGGAGGCGAATTGCAGCTGTTCTTGATTTGGAACCCCATTGCAGGGCATGACAGCGAGCACGTCATCTCTGTCACCCTACATCTCGGGTCGTGGTCATCTCATGCATCGTCTCTTTTCCCTGTGTATCACGCTTCGTACATCCCATGCTCGCCCCTTCCACCCTCTCCGATCCGCCTCCTCCCTAAGCCGTCGATGGCGCTGGCCCGACCGTGCAACTAGTCCACACTCTCTTACCCATATTCCTCACCGCACGTCGGCATCCTCGTCCTTCGCCATGGATTGGCCCCGCAACAATGGTCACCTTTCGTATCCAGGTCTGGTCGTCGGTTGAGGGTAGACGGGGCGAGAGAAGCCCAGCAGTACATGGCTATGGAGGAGGAAGGGTATGACGGTACGAGAGAAGCCCAGCAGTACGCGGCTATGGCGGAGAAAGGGTACGACGGTACGAGAGAAGCCCAGCAATACATGGCGATGGTGGAGAAAGGGTACGACGGTACGAGAGAAGCCCGACAGTACATGGCGATGGTGGAGAAAGGGTATGACGGTACGAGAGAAGCCCGACAGTACATGGCGATGGTGGAGAAAGGGTATGACGGTACGAGAGAAGCCCAGCAGTACATGCCGAGAGCAGTCGTTGTCCCGGATATGAGATTGGTGACGCTTCCATTTTTTAGGGGTTAGGGGTTAGGGGTTAGGGGTTAGGGGTTAGGGGTTAGGGGTTAGGGGTTAGGGGTTAGGGGTTAGGGGTTAGGG